ACAAATTCTTAAAAAATCAAGTCCTATAGACATTTGGGACAGAGACCGTGGCTCTGGAGAGCAACACTAATCAAAAGTATTATAAGAATTGCATTTCAAGAGAAATCTCCATATGCAGCCTTTGACAACCACCAAAGATCATAAACATCTCCCTCATTCTCCAGATTCTTTGATTTTATGATTGTCACTTCAGGCTTGTGGTTGGTTTTTTAAAAAACAAAAACAAAAAACAAGCCAGGCTGCAATCTGTCACTGTGTCAAAAGATAACAGAACTGCATTCTGTGTATCTAATGCAATTCCTTTTGTTCTCAGAAACCTCTTTTCTCCCCCATTTAAGTCAAAGAATCTCCCGACCCGCTTCCAGGTGAGACGCAGATTGTAGCGGGATAGTTGTTCATAGCAGGTACAACGCAGTAGCTTTGCATACTAACAATAACTTCCAAAGGCAGCTGTTTTTCAACCTCTCTAGAAAGGGAAGGAAAAACCCCAGATGGGATAAAGTAAAGTTTTGAATGCTGCAGAAATGAAAAAGAGGGAGGAGGCGGCGGCAAGTGAGGAACAGTGTGAACGCTACAGGTCAACCCAGGAACGCAGAGAAAGGATGCAGTTGACAGAATCTCATCTCTGGGAAGCGCACAGGGAAATCTTTGACATTAATTTGCAGCGCATTGTGCTACCTGCCCCTCTTTTGGCGAGGCACCTCTGACAGAAAAACCTTTTGAGCTCTGCAAAGCGGGAATGAGAGAGCTCCCTGCTCCCCAAGCAACTGTCTGTTAAGTGAGCACTGAATTTCCTTAATAGACAAGAGAGAAGAACCAATTTGTGAGCCAACTGTTTGGCAAATCCTCATTATTTATACAGGCCAAGCACCTAGAGAGTTCTCCACCCCAGGCTTGCTGCTGATCTCAAGACTGTGATGTAATAGAGATATAAATATGAAGCCTCTAGCCACGTTCCAGCAGTCAGCTAAATTGGAGACCACTTCTGGGATTTTCTAGAGCAAGGGTAAGTGGAATCTGTGGCCCCTTCAGATGTAGCTGGACTATCCCATGCTGACTGGGGCTGATGGGAGTTGCGATCCAAGAACATATGGAAGGCCACAGATAACCCATCCCTGATCTTGAAGCAGGGGTGGTTAGGTAATCTTAGACTCTGGACTTAATGGAGCAATGAATGTACACATCCTCATCCATTCCTCTCTACCCTCCACCCAGGGAAGCAAGAGGCATTATCAAAATTCCACACCATATTCCAGCTAGACAAAAATATTAATGACCAGTTAGGCGTGAAGTCTTGAGTTTTGAAGGCCAGACAGAGGAGGCTAGAAGGGTACCTTGGCCCTGAGGTTCCCCAACTCTGCTGTAAGAGATCTGTTCTCTTATCCTATGATGGCTCTGTGCTCACAAACCTTTGTTCAGAGATTTTCAAATGCCCAAGTATATCATGCCTGTTGCAATATCCTTACCAAATGCTTGTTGACACTTTTGAAGATCTTGAAAAGGTTAGCGAGGCGGGACTTACCTTTCCAGAAGCCATGTCGGCAATTTATCTGCAGCTAGGACTTCTCATTCAATAGGCAAGTTCAAAAATACCCAGCTGTCTTCTGCAGAGTCCTAAGGGGAGAGTCAACCCTAAAGAGAAAGCCTCTGGCCAGGCTTTCTGAAATGGAGAGCCAAGTCAGTCACTGACAATGGCAACAAGGATGAAGAGCTCGATCAAGCACCCTCCAGTGAGGACTCTAACAGCCGTCAAGACACTTGTCTGATGGAAGAAATGTGTGGCAGGAGCTGCTTTGTCTTCCTGGTTTGGACTTGGTCATCAGCTCTGATCCTAGATCTGATTGGGGGAGCAGGGGTGTTCCAACAGCCCAATCCACCATGGACATTGGTGATGACTTGCTGCTCTTTTAGAAGGCCAGAATCTGCATAGACAGAACTCTATAACTGCGTTATAAGAACTGTATCATGGGTCGGCAAGCTAAGGCCCACGGGCCGGATCAGGCCCAATTGCCTTCTAGATCCAGCCCGCGGACAGTCCGGGAATCCAGGCAGCTGGCATAGCGCACGCATGCAATGGTTTTTGCGACTCAGCCAGGCTTGAGGGTCAAAAGTGAGGCCTAAGACAAGCCCCTTCTCCATCTGTCACGCGCGTGCACAGCAATCTTTTCTTCCAGGGTGGGGGGTGGGGAAGAGGGAAAAGGAGCCACAGTTTGGATTTCCACCATGGAGCTGCCGGTGACTGACCTCAGGAAGGGCAGTTGTGGTGGCAGCGGCATGGAGGTGCCTCGGGAGCGATGACCAACTGTGTCTGTGGCGCTCCCCACCAGAGGAAGCGGAGAGCGCCTGGGCAGCTGCACTCCGAAGCAGTTATGCGCTCTGCTGGGGAGGCTGTTCATTAGTTACACGGTGTGAGCCATGGAAAGGTAAATAGCTGCCGCCACCTCATCTTATCTCACACAGGGGAAATAACGTTTTTGCTTGAGCAGCATCGGCCTGACTTAGCGTGGCCAACGGCTTTTCCCTTTGCCCACGCATGCGTACATGCTCTCCAGGGCTGACAGGAATGGTGCGCTTACCTCAGCCCCCCACCCCTCACCCCACCTTACAAGAGAAATAATAACTGTCAACATATAAAACGCAAAGGAAGCAGCATGGGTGTGTGAGGGGAAACCCCCCCCCCCAAAGCACATTTGGGCAATGTTGGGGTTGGTCCCAAGAAGGGTTTTTGCCAAAAATGCGGGTCATAATCATGGCAACATATAGTCCGCCCCCCCAAGGTCTGAGGGACAGTGGACTGGCCCCCTGCTGAAAAAAATTTGCTGACCCCTGAACTATACCTTCAAGAACTTGTTCCTAAGGTTGCTTTCACCTCCTCCCTCCCATTCTCTTTTTCCTTGTGTGTCATGCGCGCCTAAGGGCAGGGACTGACTCATTACTGCTTTTCATAAGCTGCTCTGAGAGCCTTTTCTTTGCTAAAGGGCAAGGTATAAATGCCTTTAAAGTGAACTTCAAAGCAACACTCAAGGGTGCTACTACCCAAAGTGAAATTTGGGGTGCTATTTGGGGTTGTGGTAAGGGCAACATTATACCCCAAAACTTGTGAGCTGTTATCTGTACTGTTTTCCTCCGACCCTTGCCAACTTCCCTGTACATCACCATCTTTCCTACATTATAAAAGCCCTAGATGTGTTCACTCCGAACACTCATTTCAATTGGAAATACCAATTGTGAAATCATTATTCCAAGACTTTTGTATCCTCTTCCATTGTTTTTTGGGGACAATATGGCCAACAAAAGATTAAAAACAAGCTTCCCTGCAACGAAGTGCTAAGGGTCATAATGAGAGAAATCAGTGCCATTGTTCCTGCATGTGCTTGAGGGCAAGTTGGGTTAATTACAAGGGAACTCATCAGCCTATTACAAAAGGACATAATGATATACCTTCTACTCTCCATTACAAGGTAAAGGTACAAAACCCACAAAGTGCCGTAGCTTTGCCATATCTCTGCACTGGGAATTAAGAGTGAGCTGTCTTTTCTCACAGAAGGGAAGGGGTATTAAATGTAAGCTGGGTGAATGATAAGAAACTTGGTTTGGAAAAATCCCCGCCCCCGGTCCAAATTTAATTAAAAGTCAAGAGTTCTGTCGGGACAAGTCTAAATGCAATATTGGCAACCATGTGCTAATGGTGGTGCTTGTTATGAATCATTCCAATTAAACACAAGTGTTTTTCCCAAGTCCTGATTTGAATGGATCCACAAAGCCATTTGCTAACAACGCAAGAGCCGTGTGCCTATCTCCCCAATTTCAGCTAATCTCCCTATACCTGTCACCTGAAGAGGGCCCTCAGCTCCCAGGAACTGCTTTTCTGGGAGTGTAAAGATGTTGCAGTGGAAAGGATTCAGGAAAGTCCCCTTTGCACAAGCTTGTGGTCCTCGGAACCTCAGATCTCTTCTGGTCTCAACTCTACCCTTCTTAAAGTGTTTACAGACTACTCCCATTACTTTATTCAAAAGGCAGGGCTGCATGTGTGCCACACGTTTTTTGTCTTTATAAAAGAACTGCACACAAAACCTTTAATTTTTGTATAAATTATGCACATTTGCACAACTGAATTTGCAATTTGCTGCTTCACATGATTCGTTTGGGCTACACAAATCATGAAAAGAGGCAAGCTCAGGATGCTGAAACCCAGCACACCAACCACTCAAGACATTTCACTGCCTCTCTTACGAGAGAAGGTATTGCCCACACTCTCTTCAGCGTGACTTTGCAGCCATGAAGACTAGAAACCTTTTTTTAAAAAAAATAAATAGGTGGCTATATCCTGGGGGAGCTGCATTACGGCCAACTTCACATTCTGTATCCCCACCGAACCACACTTCCAGGGGCAACCATTTGGTACTTCTCAAACGCACATTGGTTTTTGAATTGTGCTGCATACTAATCAATAAAACATGCAATTCTCTGGAAGCTGCACTTTCACAGACTCAGGTAAGTCACCAAGTTAGAGCCGCATCTTGTACTCTTCAGTGAGCTATACTGTACCATTTTTAGAGGCACAACCCTTCATAAGAGCTACTTATGGTGAGCTTCATGGGTTGCTGATGGGAGTTTCCTGTAGCTAGAACAGAGTGTAAAATCTATGCTTTTCAAATGATGCGTGTAAATAATATGGGAAATTGAAAGAATCTGTTCTGTCAGTGAAATAATTTAGAAGGAAAACTGGACACAGTGCAACATGTCTTTTTAAAGGCCCTGCTGTGAATCATTATACACTGCAGAGATGGAGGCTATGGTAGCTTAACTGGAAAAACTATGAAGAAGCTATTATAATTCACAGACCAAAAGGAGCCCTGTGTGTTTCCCAGCTACTCTTAAGAGAGAGGGAGCTCTAGGCCCTGGAATTTCTTTTAGAGTAGGGGCTGGTTTATGTTTACAACAAGAACACTGCCTAACTTCACCACTTGCTAAAGCCATCATTTCTTCTTCTTCTTTTTGCGTGGGGTGTGTGTGACAAGAGAATCATGGGAGTCAGGTTAATTGCAGATACATTCATATATGCAAATAACTACACTCAACTCAACACCAGATGCATTAATCCTCAGTGCTCAGGCATACTCTTCAAAAACAGTAATTTGTGGCTGGGTTGAATGCCTGAACCTGCCCAGGCCTTGGGTAATCAAGTAATTGCAATTTAAGTGAGGCATATGCATGCATGTATTCTGTATTCACACATCCCTTTAATATGGGAATGTTTCTTTTCAGAAAATTAAGAGTTGTAATGTAGAGTTATGAGCATCCCCCAAAATTGTAGGTTTGCTGATCTAGGTAATGTGTGTTAAGGGACATGTTCTGCATCCTCATCTAACTATGAGAGAAGAATCGAACATAAAATCAGAGGCAGCAGGATTATAATTTTGAGTTGGGAGCTTCAAAGTACTTAATCAAGATAGGCCTTTCCCAAAATATGAGGTTTGCCATTTTAACTACCTTAATATCAGAGTAAGAGTGGGGTACACAAAACGGGTTTTACAAAGGATTTTAATGAAGTTGCAAAGTGCTAGATGCAGAGAATTATAGTAGAGCTATAATTCTATAAGGTTGGCAGTCGAGGGAGAACAGCGTGGGAAGTATACAGAGGCAGATAAAGCTTCAGATTTTTCTATAGCACAATTCAAGTTTATTCCATTCATTCTTGCAACACAAACTTAACACAGTATCATTTAGCAATCCAATGTCTATGAACCATGATAATGATAAACCAAACTGTGTCAAAATAGTTACATTGTGGAAAAAGGTCAAATATCAAAATGCACAAAGCACTATTTTTCCTCCATCAATTGGGTAGAAAGATGTGATTGTTTTCCCCATTTATAAAATATAAGACTGTTCAGTTTGAGATTTAGCATGCAACACTGCAACTGCTCAACTAGGACATTCCACTCTTACCAGCTTCTTCTATCCATCAATTAACCCATTTAGTACTGCATTAAAGAACTAAGTTAAGAAAGCAATGCCTATACAAAGGGGAGCAGAAAGCTTTAAGACCGCAAGTCATTATTTTAAATTGAAATCTGAAATCTGAAAGTAAAGGAAGGATATTGGTGCTAGAATTTGATTTCTAGAGTGCTAGCTTTGACTTCTCTTAAGTTTCCTACCTTGAAAAAGAATTTACTCCAAGAGTTCACTATCTAAGAGCTAGCATGAGACATTGGTAGCCATCATTTTTCTTCTGAAAAGCAGGATATGATATGAATAGCACATGATCTGTTCACACAAAGATCTAAAGTTGGGTTTGATTTCTTGATTTCTAAAACAGAAAACAGTGGGTGGACCTTTTATGCCATAGCAAATTCAGAAACATTAGTTTGGCTTAGAGCAAACTCTTACGTATTCTGACCCAAGTGGCTAAAATATACTTTATTATAGCCACACATCAGAATCCATCTCTAGTTGCGAATAAAGATGTGCCAGAAAAAAAGAACTGTGCAAAACGCCAACATGATAGTTTTTAAAGAAAAGGCAAGCAGGCAGAGCCTCAAATGTTTGGGCAACGAACTGCACGAAAGAGGCTCAAAGTGATCCAACACTATCTAAGGAGGATTGAAGGCGAATGGACACAGGGTTATGAAATAGCCAGTCATGAAGCACAATTTCAATTTCTCCTTCACTTGATCCATCAGATCTTTCATTTAACTTCAGGAGATATTAAGTGGATCATGCCTACTATGACTAAGAACGTTTGATTTAAAATTAATCTGAACATGTTCATTTACTCAATTAGCATCTTCATAAGCAACGCCTTTCGTGTCGCATAGGAAGGTGAACATGTGACTACACAGACTCTGCATGCAAAGCTTGCTATTTCTATATCACATTCCTGCACCAATACAAAAAACCAAAAAACAAAACCAGATTAACATGGTTCTACTTTTAAGAAAGCCTTTAAAGAATCTAGTTTCTCCCCCCCCCCCTTTGCTGCTGAATATTTGAATGTTGGGGGTGGTATCAGTGCTAATAAGGGACAAATAAATGGCAATTTAAGATGTAACGCTAGCCTGCAATTTTGCATTGTCTATAGAGGCCTTATTCCTAATTCTGTTTTACTAGGGTATACAGAGGGTTTTCCCATTTAAATGAAATGCTTTCAAAATTGAAAAGGTACATTCAACACTATGAAATGTGTATACAAAAGCACACGCCAGTTACCTGGATGACAATGAAGACATTGTATTGCACATCTTGATGCAAAGTCAGTAGAAGCCTCAGTGGGAAATTTTTAACATGATACAAAATTTATCATGTGCTATTTGCCCCAGCATCTTCTAATCAACACATTAGCATATTACAAAACCTTATGCCTGAATGTTCTTTAAAAATGTCATCTTGAAGAGTATTTGTGAAATGTCACGTACAAAGAAGCATCCTTTACTGGGCAGCAATAAAGGCAGGGTTTCCTTTGGAAACATGACTATTTAATCTGTCAAATTACATTTTTCATAGACAATGCCATAGCAGTGACTCAAATCTTATTTCAGAGACATATGCATTTTACAAGATCAATGTGTTGAGGATGAAACTAGGGCAAAGGAAGCTCCTGCCTTCTTTAAAAGAATGAAATTAACTTAAACTGAGAGCCATTCCTTCTTTAGTAATTAAGATACTTTGAGTCTAAATCTTGAAGGGCAAAGTCATCATCCTCTAGCACCAATAGGTCTGGAGCTGTCACTTTCTTCCAGTTAATATTATGATGTGCTGGGGTGAGGAAGTTCCAACTGGAAGTCTTTGAAGAGCAAATCTTACCCAGAACTAAGCACTGTCTATCATCTGGCTGGTTCTTCACAAAATGTTTGGATGGTGGAAAAACCCCCACACGATTTTGATCATCCCTTGGCACCCCGTTTTGAGATGCATTCCTGCTATCACTGTATATTCCATGTTAAAATAGGCAGCCAAAATTAGTGTGGCATCCAACTGTTAAATACCGGGGAATGATAAACCAAAGCCTTCAGCACTGCACAACCTACGTAAGGCACAGGGATACAGTTATCCCAGTGCCTTGACTGGGAGATGACAGCATAGCAGCACAGGGCTGCTACTGCCTTTACAAGTTAGAAAGTACAGGGATGGAGCTTCTGTCTGACAAACTTCCAGCAAGTCTTAGAAGAACAAGGAAAGTTTGCAGACTAAATTTTAGACTCCATTCTTCGCCCCTTCTCCAGCAGAGGTTCAATTTTGCTAGAAATGGGGGGAAAATTGTACCCTGAACAAAGTCCTAAGGAGAAACCAATTATATGGATTTCTACTTTCTCCAAGCAGGTTGTCTTTTTGATAGAGGTACCTAACTAGTCTGATTTACTGTGATTTTTTTTCCTCCCTCCCCAATATTTAGCTGAAGAAGCTGGAAGATACAAAGAGTGACAGACAGGCAGCAGTGTGAGGCCACAGGAGAGACATTAGATCTCAGTCCATCCGTCACTGGAGAAGAGCTTTGATTGCCTGATTGTCAGTGGCTTCAAAGGCAGTCAGACCATCTGGCCCTCTCACAGTCTTATCAGCACCCTGTAAAGAGAGGAGAAGAGCTGTCACTTTTAGAGAAATGGTGGAATTACATGTACCAGAATCAGTTTCTCGTGAGAGGGTCCTGGTACGTTTGTTTTCTTACTTTACAGTCTATATAATTTCTTCAACTAGAGTCACATTGGCTTGACTAGGGTGTGTACGTTAAACAAGAGAGATCATTTTCAATTCATTCACCATTAAAAAGACAGGCTTTAAGTAATCTCACAATCCAAATAGCACATTTAAGTTATAGAAAGCTTCATGCTCCCATGAAGACACCTCAGCCTCTTGGGCCCACTTGAATAATAGTATTTTCAAAGTATTAATATACATTAAAGTTTTCAATCAAAAGACCCAGTTCTAGTTATCTTAAGACAAAATGCCAATTAAATCCAGGTGAAACCATGGTTCCCAAACCTTGCCTACTTGACTCCTCTTCTGATTCAGAGCCACAGCCTCAATCCTGTTCCAAAGCCTTTACTGGATTTGCATATACACTGGAGTTTTACCATACACCTTTAGTGGCCTGGGATCCATTCTGCTAAAGACCTCTCACAGCTCCAGGGTGGAATTCAAAGTGATTGTTCTGTCAGTGCAAACATTTCTGCTTGCCTGACGGACTGCTCTTCTCTCTCTTCCCCACACGTGGTGGTCTGGGGTTTTCCCCCCTGACACCTCCCCCCCCAGTAGTTTTGGGTGAGAGGAGGAGGATGGGTAGCCCTGTTGTATTAGCAGGACTCGTGGTGGTTCCTGCTAGTGCAACAATTTAGTTGAATCTGGTCCCAAGTGTTGCAACTTTTGAAGGAAAAGGAAATTAAAGAACTCTAGATGACATTGACCTGTACGCCTACAAGTAACCTTCTGGAGCTTTATATATAGGCGTACAGGTATATATATATACATGTGGGTGTACATATATGTAGGCGTACAGTGGAATATAAATATCAGACTTCCAGAGCATTTCCTCCACACCCACATGCACCTCTACAAAATGTTGGAAAAGGTTACGCTCTACAACAGTTACTATTCCTAGATGCAGTCATTTCAGAGATAAAAGGATTGAAACTCTGTCTAGTTAAAAACCTACCATATTTCCTCGAGTCTAATACACCAGTGAATCTCACGCACACCTGAATTTTCAGAACCTTGAAACCAAATGAAGTATTTGCTGCTGAATGTAAAAGTGCCATCGAATCTAATGCACACCTTAATTTTCTCAACGTAATTTGGCCAAAAAAGGTGAGCATTACATTCGAGTAAATGTGGTAGTTAAAAGCACTTTAATTATTGCAGACATCGGCCTAGAAGAAAGGTTGATGTACTCCTTCAAGTTAGACTGTCAACTTTCCACAGGTTTGTCTGTCTTTTAAAGGGGATGTCAGGTGGGTCTTGAAGTACCACAAGCACAGAAGTATGGCCCAAAGATGCTTAATGGCTCCACTCTGTCAAAGTCAAGGCTGTAATAGACTATAGCCAATCACTATGATTAGTATGTCAGCTGTGTCTGGGAACACTCATTCACTTGAAATCGCCACACTCGAAAATTTTCCAAGTACACCTTAGTTTGAGGTAAAATAATAAATCAATTTGAGCATGTCAGTCTCCACATTATTTGGAGTACATTTGAGGAAAATGGCATGAGAAAAGAACACAAAAGGGGGAGAGGGCAAGAAATGACGTTTGGCTTGAGTGCTCCTGTACTACTTGCAGAAGGAGGAAAATTAAGGAAAAAATGTTTTCTTTACTGAAGATCGTACAGGGGTCTTAATGTTCCACAAGATTAGTAAACATCTATGTTGCATTATGAAGCTAGCATAGATTTAATTTCTTTTTAACCAGCCTGCAGATTGAAATAATGTGTCTTGCTTTTTGGGTAAAGGGTTGAGGAATGTTTCCTACTCAAACTAGAAACTCAAGAGGTTTTGTCAAGATACAAGGAAAAGTATAGAAAGAAAACCAACAGTACTTAAAAATAAATAAATCTCAAATACAAACAATGTTTCAACTATAGGACTAAAAAGATTGTTAAAATGGGGGAGAAATACAATCATGCATATGCACCGATGCCATCAATTCAGTGTAGGGTAATCAAGGCAGGTTGACCTAAAACAACAAAACATTTGGCAGCAAACTTATGGAAGTGATCAGCAGGTGAGGGGAGTTTTAGCACAGCAAGCCACATTTCAGTGATCCAGGATCCACTGAGATCTAAACATTGTAATTACTTTGCTTTTTCTTCTTCTTTTTTTAAAGTAATCCACACAATCAACTCATTTGTGATAGAACAAACTCATACTGATGTGATCAAATATACTTTCTGAATCAAAGGCAGAAACTACTGGCATTGACAAAAAAACAACCTTGAAGGTCTTCTTCAAATTTTCCCTTTGTTCTTTTTATACCCTTCCCATATACTCAGTACCAGAGTTGAAAAAGCGCAAAGTGACACTAACTAGCTTCCAAGCCTTTATTTTAAAGTCAAAAGATGAATCTACAGACTTTTGACTCCACAAGTACTTTAAGGACAAAGAATACAATTCATAACCTACTTCTGCTGGCTTGAAGTTTTAGTATGAGTGAATCCTAGCAAGATCTCTCTATATTTTTCAGATAAACAGCAAGTAAACACACACAATTTTAACTCAAGAGAACCACAGTATTTTGTTATCATGAGATGGTATGTGTCCTATACAACCTCCGAAGGGGAAAAGCTCTCAGAATAAATTGGCTTTATTTTCCTTAGTTTGACAATGTTAAAGTCAACCAAATACTAGGGCTGTGTGCATTTGCTTCAGACAAATTCCAAATCCAGAACCAAAGTGGGACATTTCATATATTTGGGAGTCAGCCAAAGCAAAGCAATTTCCTTCTGAACTGTTCCAAGGCAACTCTGTCTGTTTCCAACATTTCAGAACCTATTCAAATGCACAAACACTGAAAATTCGTACTCTCGTACCCCTAGATGCTCTCCCTGTAAAGAAAATACCAGGGAAGTGGGGGTGTACTTTAGTGACTGACAGCTGTAGCTCTCAACCAGAGGATTTTACAGGGCTCTTTTTTTTTTTAACTTCCCGTCAGTACCCAAGGTGGAACTTACCAGAAAGTCTTCCAGTGTTTTTCCACTGCTTTTTGTGACTGTGTGGCAAATAGCAGCAGTACTGAAGGCTTCAAATAATGGACTGAGAAGCACCAATAATTCATGGTTCACACCCAGTCTCCAAGGCAGACAGGAACATGAAGTCCCACTGAGTCCCCATAACCTGAGTCAAGCTCTCCCTGTGCTTTCTCCCTGGCTGCTGATACAAGGAGGGCAAGGCACCATTTTCTGGCACCATCATAAGCCTGCAAGAAGCTTATGATGGGTAAAAAGATATAGGTACCAGAGTTTGTGGAGGTGCTGGGAGATAGCTGCCCTTGTCACCTCTGCTGCCTACTTTGTCACTGCTTATAATAAAAATGCAAGTGATGAGCAGGGCTCCCATCCCCCCCAAAAGGAGGATACTCCCCTCCCCTCTTGAAATAATATGGGGAGGGATGTGTGCAGGAAGAGCTTTAGATGCACAGATGCTCTTGCTATAGAGCCAGTGATGAGATCTGGGCTTCCAAGTTCTGAAACAGAGAAAAGAGGACACACACATACACCCTCTTTGCCTGAAAGAAAAGGATTTTGGTGGATCTCTGGGGGCTTTACAAGCAGGTAGGGTTATATAGTTATATATAAACTGTTAGGCTGCCCAACACAACTCCTCATTACACCTGTCAGCATGAAATATGGCAAATTTCGTCCTATAGAAGAGACTATTATGTCTACAAGTTTTATCTCATTATGTCAGAGAGCAGAACAACTATAGCTATTTGTTGATTTCCCCATTGTAGTCACTGGGGGCACCAAGTTTCAGATTTTCCAAAGCAGGGTTCTGATTCTGACCAGAGGTGAAGTGTGTGGTCTGTGAAATGGTTTCAGCCAAATTTGGCCACATTCCAGATTGTCTATCCAGTGTGCTAGAAAACATGTAGCCCAAACTTTGTAACAGAGCACATCCTTTGTATGCAGGAGGCTGAAGGCTGACTCACCAGCATCTTCATCTATGTAATTTCAGGTAACAGTATTGGGAAAGGAATCATGAAGAGCCAGTCACCAATCAGATTCGCCTGTTTTGTGCAGTACAATGGTGTGACAAGCTCTCACTTAGAACAAGCTTTTATCTACTAAATATGTGGCTCTTCTAAAACTTCCTGCAGGAAGTTTTTCTCTTTGCTTGACTAGCCTCTATTTTGTAGTCACATTGAATCTGGCTATCCTTCTCACTGCAGTTGCATTTAGCATTCTATAACATCAGAACAGCTCAGAAGATAGCTACCTAAGGGGACTTTCAAGACTAAATCATAGCAAAAAGGAAGACACTGTTGACTGTACGCTTAGATTTTCCCAAGTTATGTTAAAAGCCTTGTCCTTAGCTTCTCTTCTTCGGTCTCTTGTCTGTTTTAATATTGTAAGCCTATGGGCACGGATTTCCATTTTTCCATTTTTGTATAGTGCCCACTGGGTAATACTGACTAAGTAATAGGAAAGAGCCACTGAGATCAATAAGCAACTTAACAGAGAGGAGAAAATTGCAGGGGAGAAACAGTAGACACAGGAAAGGTTAAGCATCCTTACCTCTCACCTGCTAAGCCATAACCAATGTAAGTCCATTGATTTCAATGTGTCTACTCTCAGCATGACTTAGCTGGATTCCACCCAATGAATATTAGGCTTTTAAAAAAATTAAAATGATGAAATGCTTGAAGGCAGTGTGGAATTTGTTAAGTTGCTGAATGATTAATAAACCACCAGGCAGGTCTCCGTTTCTTACCTTTGACAGGAGTAACTTCACACAAGACACATGGCCTTCATAAACTGCTGAAAGGAGTGGAGTGATATTGTGTTTGTCTGGAGCCTGTAAGAAAGAGAAATGAAGTTACACAATAAATTCCATCTACAATATACTATATCTAATAATGCTCAGATATCACATTCTTGGCAGGTGGGTATCTGCCAAAAATGGTACTGTTGCACACAGAACATATTTAGCCAGCTGCAATGTTGCTAAATGAAAGCAAGTCCAGACCTACACTTTACTTCTGCAAAAGCATGTCCCTAATTTTCCTGAAATGGTTTATAAATGCTGTTAATTATTGGAATTGGTTACCAAATGGAATTACATCAGGCTACAGCAGAGGGAAGGATGGGAGGCAAGGCCATTCCAAAAGAGTAGCTCCTTTAAGTCTCCTATTCTCCCTGAAGTGTTTCATCTCAGCTAGTCATCATAGGAACTTCATACATTTAAGAATTTGGGCATGGATTTTCTTGATTTCCTCTTTCCTATAGACTCTTTCCCCCTTTTGTATCATGGCCTTTAGACTGCAAGCCTAAGGGTAGATGTTGCCCTGTTTGTTATTGATTCATCTAGGATATTTTTTGGTTGAAGAACAGGGTGAAAATATTTACATAAAAACTTAGTATACAAAACACATTAGAAAATTGGCAGACTTTAACCTGAATAGAAGACAGTTACTGCAGACAGCAGTTTCTAAGATAATACCAACTACTATTATCTTACTAGAATACTAATAATGAAGCAGATTTATCCTTTCATAGGTCTAATATGAACCAGACAGAAATTGCATTGTATCAAATAAAATGGAAGTGTAAAAACTCACTTCATACAAATTGTGTAGTGAACTGTTGAATCATTCAAATGTCTGAGCCATTCAGATTAACCAGATTAGTTATTTTTAATTATCGGCCAGTTACTGAAGACTGGACACATATTAGTTTTCACAGAGCTGAATGTAGCATAAGAGGCATTTTACTTATGGATGCATCTCATGATCCCTTCTAATGAATAGTCTGTTTTTGTATTGTTTAAAATACATGCAAAACCTGTTTGAAGAAGAGGCAACGGTGGAGCAAACATTGCTGCTGCTGCTACTACTACTACTACTAATAATATGCACATACATCCAAGGACAACTATGCCTCTACATCATTGTTTTGAAATGCACAGAAAACTATCATTTGTCTTCAGTCAAAGACAGAACTAAACCAGAACTAGACAGAGTTTTAATCAACATACATACATTCATATCAGCTCCTTTTAGTAGAAGGAACTCCAGGATCTCAAGCTGTCCACAGTCTGCAGCATAGTGAAGAGGTTTCCTCCCACCTTCCAGTGTCCGATTAACATCTTCACCCTTCAGAATTAAAAAAGTTAATAATTTTATATAATTCTACATCAAATTTAGCTCTGAGATCTAACTATGGTCATTACTCAAACATAGCAGACAACACTTGCTTAAAACTCTTGCTCAAAACACTTGCTCAAGACATTACAGCAATATGGGGAAGGTAGTCTGCAAAGCAATGCCTCATTTCAAGAACCAGGAGTGTCAAAATTTATATCCATAGTGCTTGTTGCAAAGCAATTTGTTTTTCCTGTTCCATTCATCCCTCTACACCTCCTTTAACTTTCCCAAACTTTGATCTGTTCATAGCTTGAAGGTTCACCATTATTAGGACTAATAAATGTACAGCAGGTGGTATTAACACAGCAGTGAAATCTTACTAATACTATTAGAAGTTATTTAAGAAGTAGATGTTTTGGAAGCATGACCTCTCAGTGGCATGCGCAGACATGGCGAATCGCGACCCGTGCATGCGCAGACGCATGCATTCGCTTCAGGATGCGGGGCTCCAGAACGGATCCTGTTTGCATCCAGAGGTACCACTGTATAGTCCGGCCCCCCACAAGGTCTGAGGGACAGTGGACCGGCCCCCTGCTGAAAAAGTTTGCTGACCTCTGTTCTACATCATGTTTCTTCCATAGGCCACAAGATGCTTTGTGATGCAACCAAGAAGCCCATAAAGTCAACTGGTATTCCCTGGTACAGTATAGCGATTCTGAACCTAGAGGTTCTACACAACTATTAACAGACATAATATCCACAAAATTTATTGTTTTTCTTGATTAGATTAAAAGCTACTACCAAATTCTGTATACTGCCCATGTCTTTTGTTTGTTATACTTTCAAGTGTTATATAGAGTACTTATAGCAAGCACTGTATGAAAATTCTGAAGGATCCACACACCACAAACATCTTGAAAGATTGTATCATGTCCCAAGTGCAATGACCCAATAAATTCCTTAACTCAAATAATTAGCAGATTCCAAGAATGTAGCAATTTACTCTGTCACAATATACTTTTTGGCATACTTCTGGCACAACAACAGTATTTCTAAAGTACTAGTAGTGACTTTTCTTTTATGGTTCAGAATTTTAGAACTGCTGAATGTCCCTTTCATTTATTAGAACTCAAAGGCTTCCAGACCATATAGATACTGTGCTTCCAGCTCTGAATAAGACTCTTGATAAAGTCTAATCATTTAAATTCCTCCATTCATTTGCATCTTGAATTATAAGACTGAATTAAATTTTTATTGTCTTTACTCATTTGATGCACCATGACATCAGAACATTTAAAAAGCACAATGAATAAATTTAGTGATAAATCTTTTAATTGTGCAACTCTAAGTTTATAATTTAAAATGTTCATTGCTTTTCCTTCTGATTATTAAGCCAAGCCAACTATCTTTGCTTTTGCCTGTCTTTTGCATTTCCCTTTTGTTACACTAAAAGATTATTTCTTTGAATACTGAATTCAGTCAAACTGTTACAGAATGCTCATCAGCACTAATGCCCTAATCACTTGAGACCACTGAATGCACCTCTTGTTCTGATAATACCAACTCCTATCCTGAACACCAATATAAAAATCCACTTCATGTACCTTCTTCTCAGCTTCTAACTAATAAGCACTTAAAGGCTCTTTTCAGGTCAATATTACCTCCTCTATTCATACATGTAATGCATAACCTAAGGGAAATATGTGTCAGTATAAGAAAACCTATTTATTCATTCTAAGAAAAGGATTCTTATAGTATATCCCTTCAAGAAGAAGTAAAAATGAAAGTCTAGATTCCAATTAAAGTTTTTGAAGTGTCTCAAGACTGAAAACGTATCCCAGAAGTCTTATATTTCTTCACGGTGAATGTAAACCATCAGATAGTGGAATAATTCTCTCACACACTAAAAGGTTCTGGGTTGGCTGCAGTTACTTAGGAAAAAGATCTCGAAGATGAAAGCAGCAAGCTCTCAGAAGTCAGCAACTTGGCTTTCTTAAGACCAACATTATTCGGAAAGGAACTGAGAAGACACAAAGTTACAAACCCCTATAAAATATAAATCTAAAGTCCTCATGTCACACAAAGAACTCAAGACAAATTTCAAAAGTCCTCTGCAAGTGATCTGCTCCTGCTGGGTAGAAAGCAGGAGGGAAGGAGAAAGAGAGAAAGAGAGAGAGAGAGAAAAGGGGGGGTCTTCTTTTGGCTCTGTCCCAGTCCAATCCTTCAAGTCAGCCCTTCTCACAATTGGCATGTGCCCAAGACATTACTCCCGAAAGAATGCAGGCCTCAACAGAAAAAGAAAGAAGGAAAAAGATTGCCCACTCTGATCTACAGCAGGCTGATTTTTAGAACACCTATTTGCTCCAGTTTCTTTATGTCAAAGAAAAGGAACCACAGAAAGTAGAGAAAAGAGCAACTAAATTATCAGGTGAGAAGCATAAATTTGCCCAGAGAAATACAAGACATAGATTTGAGTTTTTTCAAAGCTTCGAAGACTCAAGGAATGTTACGATGTTTAAAATTAAATGCGCTGGTGGAACTTAATAGAACTCAACCCAAGAACTGTGGTTACCTTGATGAAACTGACAAATTATCTGATTTAAGGCAAATTTAAGATCGAGGACATCAAATTTGCTACATTCCTGTGGTTAGAACTGATTAAGTGTTGTGTATACTGCCCCGTCTAGCTTTTTAAACAAGAGAGGCAGCAAATGAGGAAATGTGAACTCTGGACCAGGCCTCCTTAGCTCTGGAAGCAAGAACATCTCATCCAGGAATAGCTGGTGACATGGTTGAGCCTTTCTATATGTCAGTGCACTCCTTTCTGTATGTCAGATTACAAGAATCTTAGAACCACAATATAATCATTTTGATACTGAAATTTTCACAGCAAGCAGGTACATTAATCCAACACAAGTACAGGCCCAATAGAAAGGAGAAGAGTTGTCTGAATTGGGCCTTGGTTTTAATTAAGAGTTTTTCAGTTCTTTGCTTCAGACTCTCCAACCCTTAATCACCTTGTCAAATCTGCCAGAAAAACAGGAAGCTGATGTGCTATATGAGCAGGCAAAAACAAAAGTATCCCTGTCTATTGAATTGGCACCAGGCTCTTTTATTGTACAGTGGTACCTCAAGTTACAAATGCCTCAGGTTACAAACACTTCAGGTTACAAACTTTGCTAACCTGGAAGAGTTACCTTGAATTGAGAACTTTGCCCCAGGATGAAAATGGAAATTGTGTGCTGGCGGCGCAGCGGCAGCAAGAGGCCCCATTAGCAAAAGCACGCCTCTAGTTAAGAACGGACCTCCAGAACGAATTAAGTTCATAACTAGAGGTACCACTGTATTCTTTTTGGCACCTGCTTAAAATATTTTTGTTGAGGGAAGCTATTCAGACAAGTAGATGTTAATGTGTTTACTGCTGATTGTAACTGCTTTTTAAACAAATGCTTGAATTACCTATTTTTAACTGTTTTATTTATAATGGTAATATTTCTTACAAACTGTTTAGGCTTTGCTACAATCAAGCAGCATATAAATCTTGTTAACAGAAACATAATATAAAATGTGGCCTTCTACATATTGTTGAACATCTAGTCCCATATGTCCCAGCCAGCATAGCCAATGGTCACGGATGAATGGAGTTGTAGTCCAACACCTGAAGGACCACAGGTTTCCTATCCCTGGTCTAACCAAGTCTCTAAACAGGAAGTCTGGAAATAATGTTTGGGGTGGAGGAGAAAGGGACAGTTTAAAGAAAAATGTTTAAAGTGAACACTAGAAAAATTTGAACATGAAACCAGCAGAGGCTGCTATCAGGAGCTGACACAGATCAAGCAGAAACAAAGGATCTACTGTAGTGAAGTCCAACACATCTTTGAGTACAGCAGATAGCACCAGAAATGCATGGGCTACAAGACACAGAGGGATAGTACTATTTATCGGGCTAGTTGAATATACTCATGACTCAATTAGAGCTGATGAGACTTTCACACTGAGAAAATTGAGTTCAGCCAATAGGTTTTCATAGAATCCTACTTGACCCGAGTTGTGCTCTAGACCTACCCATTTGTTGCAGTGAATCCAGAGCTAGAGCATCCCTAACAGATGGCTATCCATCCTATGCTTGAAGAATTCCAGGGAGGAGCTCATCAAAACCCTAGGTAACTGGCTCCATTGTCATACTCATTACTGCCTCCAGGCAACAGAGGACAAGGCTTTGCCCCTTTCTACACAACAGCGTTCCAAATATTTCAAAAGTGCTATTAAGCCCCTTCTTAAACTTCTTCTCCTCTCCAGGCTCAACAAACCCGGTTCCTTCAAACTTTCTTCACAGGACTTGTTTTTCATACCAGTGACCATCTTTGTTGCTCTCCTCTGAACCTTGTTTGAACTTGTTCACATTCTTCCGATAGTGCAGCACCCAGGAATTCGAAACAGTACTCAAGATGAAGTCTGACTATTGATTAATTTATTATGAATCAAGACCTGTCAAATCAAACCCCATTATAAGCCCATTCACATTTTTAAAGTATTTGTGCCTAACTGCAGTCAATTGTACATGCATGGCAAGCTGATTAGCTTCTCTTGTCACATAGGTTTATCATAGAATCACAGAGTTGGAAGGGACCCCAAAGGAATTTCAACTAAAGCATCCAAGACAGATGGCCATCCAACCTCTGTTTAGAAACCTGTTTAGAAACCTCCCGAGGCAGTCTGTTCCACTGTCAAACAGCTCTTAAGTCAGAAAGTTATCCCTGATGTTAAGTAATGTGATAAGTAGACATCTGTGCAATTAAATACAAAAAATGGAACCTAGAACCAGCAGATTCATACCTTCATAACTCAATAGAAGAGGCTGAACATATGTTTATGACTACTTCACACAAATATGATCACCACTATAATGTCCTGTTGTACCATATACACCATAGGATCAGACAAAGACGCATTCCATATTACTAATTGCACCCTAGGGAAGGCAGCTTTCTTTCTTTTATTAGCCTAGAGGAGGAGGATGGAAAAGTAGATGACTGCATCTCTCTTAACTCTCTGTTTGCATGCTATTTCAAGCTGGAAAGAACCCCACAGTTGTAGCTATTGCTATTGTTCTTTAGTACAATATTTAATACCTGCTTTTCTACAGAGTACCCAGGGCACCTTAAAAAAATAGAAGTGTTGTTAATATATAAATTCATTAACATGACCACCACCAAACCCTAACACAATAAGGATATTGTATACAAATCAAATTTTTAAAGTGATATATGTCTATCCTGGAATTTGTACATCATTTACAAATGTCCTACATAGGCTGCCTAAATTCTTCACCAAGTATTCTTCGGTACAGGTATCAGTCTACAGCAGGCACCTTGTTCAAAATTGTTTGCCAGAGCCTACACAAATCTATAGCTACAAGCTGGGCGAAGTGATTTTGTTGTAGATACACTTACTTTCCCTCTTCCCCGACATTCAGGTTTTATGAAACCTACATCCTTTCATCCTATATGACTTTTGTGAAGTAGAATAGCCTACTTCTATAGTATATAAAGCAACAACACTAATCAGACCAAAGGTCTACCCAGCTAAACAGCATACTTTGAAAGCAACCATACTTGGGTACTTTCCAAAGTTGTTACACAGGAAGGCAGTAGTTTCATGGATTTAAATACTGAAGTGTCCCAACTATTTAGTGAATGAGTTGGGCAAGTCTATGTAATTTAAAAGCAAAAGCGGAACACTGATGAGGAGGGCAGAACTTTCCTGCCTGCAGCTTCTATCCTCAAGTGGTTTCCTCCTGGCGCTGTGGGTTAAACCACAGAGCCTAGAACTTGCCGATCAGAAGGTCGGCGGTTCGAATCCTTGCGATGGGGTGAGTTCCCGTTGCTTGGTTCCTGCTCCTGCCAACCTAGCAGTTCGAAAGCATGTCAAAGTGCAAGTAGATAAATAGGTACCGCTCCAGTGGGAAGGTAAACGGCATTTCCGTGCACTGCTCTGGTTCACGAGAAGCAGCTTAGTCATGCTGGCCACATGACCCGGAAGCTGTAAGCCGACTAATAAAGTGAGATGAGCGTCACAACCCCAAAGTCGGCCACGACTGGACCTAATGGTCAGGGGTCCCTTTACCTTTAAGTAGCCTTAGCTGCCAAAAATGCATTAACACAAGAGCCCCAGGGGGCTTCAGTGTCCTCACTTCTTTCTACATGATTAAATGTGAAATTGCCCCTAACACCTAGAACTATTGCCCTAACATCATTATTGCACCCAACTTCTACCAAAACTTCACTGCCTTCCATTTCCAGGAAACTGCACCTTGTCCAAGGACACCCAATTTTACAGCGAGGCTTTGGTAGTTGAAAGCCACCATTTCTATCCCATCTTTACTCCAAGAAGCTCAATTTGGTGTATATGGTTCTCTTTACCTCCATTTTATCCTCACAACCACCCTGTGAAGCAGGCTAGGCTAAGAGACTGTGGCTGACCAGCGTCACTCACTTATTTTCATGGCTGAGCAATGATTTGAACCCTGGTCTCTCAGGCACTGGTTTAACACCAACCACAAAACCAAACTGGCTCTCTTATAAATCTGCCTACCCTATTTCTGATCTCAGTTACACCACTAGCCCTGGAGGCAGAAGGCTCTGCAGATCAGCTATTTGTTTATTTGGCCACCAGAAACATGAAAGTAGACAATGAAATCCTTTTGCTGACCAGCTCTTACTTCCACCCTTGCACGGAACAGCACAAGAGGCTGTCATGCCCACTTTTAAATAAATGTTTGAATAAGAGAGAATATATAACTGAATGGCAAAAGGTGCATCTCACCATCATGCACGCTTCTCCAGTTCTAATGAGATGGATTAATTAGTTCTTAACAGAACTTAACTAGTTATACACTCTCAACCGGACTGGCTAAAGAATACTAAGGTCTTAATCCTCCACACTTAGTTTTTCCAGTGCTACTTCATTTTATCACCTTTGGCTCAATAAAAACCTAGTGGGTACTAAGGTCTTCCATTCAATGTTTCCATTGCTATTTTAGTTCATCACCATTTGCTCAATTAAAAACCCAGCAGGATGTTGAGACACCTATCTCATTTCCTTCACACACTTATCATGCTGCGATTATATTTTGTTCCCTCCTAAATCAAATCAAATAAAATAAAATACAGGTACAGATACAGCAGGTAAGGACCACACATTGAAGAAAGGGTGTGGCTTTACGTTTGCAGCATACAATTCACTCAATAATTTTGGAGTGGGGCAATTCGGCCCTCTAACCCTTGGGGGGGGGAGGTTCAGAAAGAGCGAACTGGGGAAAGAGGGAGGATGCTTGAACCTCTATAAAACCGACGAGGGACGATAGCACGCTCTCCACAAGCAAGCTCAAGCATAAGGGTGGGCGGGGACTAGGCCTCTAACAGGAGGAAGAGGCAAAGCCTTCCCTTCAGCTTCCATCACGGCGTCAGGAAAGATGCAGCTCCACGACGAAGGGGGGCGAGCGGGGAGGGGGTCACCCACCATCCAAATCATTTCCGGTGCCCTGGAGTGAGGCAAGAGCACCCCTGAGCATGTGTCGATTGCGACACACACACATGCGGTCTCCAGAAAGTAGCAGGGGAAGAGCTCGGGCCTGAGCCCCGGCACCTTTAGTTTGCGAAGCAGATGACGGCGGGTCCTGTGAGGAAGAAGGGGGAGCCCCGCCTCAAGGCCAGGAAGCGGCGCCCAGGCTCTCCCGCCCTCCCTGCCTGCCTCCACGCCCACCCGCCCCCGGCGGCCTTACCTTGGCCACGTAGTCCTTCACCTCGTCCAGGTCTCCGTTCTTGAGGGCCCACATGAACTCCTTGTCGGACATAGCGGCTGCCGCCCTGACAGGGGACACGGCGAGAGGGCCTGGCAGCGTTCGCGCGACGAGGGGCGGGGGAAGAGGAAGAGGAGGAGATGGGCGGGGCTGGACCGGAAGCGGGCGCGGCGTTGGTGGCGGCGGTTGGGCTGCTGCCTCTCGCGGCGGTGACGGCCGTTGCCACGCCAACGCCGCTCGCTGCGCGCGCCTTACTCACGGAGAGGCCGGCAAAGGGGGAAACTTCGCGTCCGCCATTAACGTTTCGAGTCGTTTATACTTTAAACGAAGTGTGCTTTTAAATTAACAATAACCGAAAAAACCCCGCCTTTCGCATCTCTCCCCACACCGCTTTCGCTCGCTCGCCCCGCCCCCACAGAAAAAAGAAAAGTGAGACAAGCCCGCGGAAGCGCACATGCGCCATGGGGGCGGTATCCGGTCCTCAGCCGCTTTAGCCGCCTCTTTTTTCCCTGTGCCTTGGGCGCCGTAAGGAAGGCACGGGCTGCGGAGCATGCGCAAGGAGGAGCGTCCAAGTCGCTCAGGGAAACGAGAATGGACCGGCGGATTAAAAAAAAAAAAAGCGCGCATGCGTGTTATTCCCTCCAGGTTAGCTCGTTCAAACTTAAACCGGCTAAATTGTTGGGTAGCTTTCGTGCTCGCGCATGCGTAGATGGTGTTGGCTGTGATGGGCGGTGAGGCTTTCTGATTCACCAATAATTTAAGGTCTCGAAAGCAGCTCGATGCTCTCAGGGTTTACTCTGAGGTAACACCCCCCCCAGATTTCAACGGGGCTTGCTCCCCTAAGTATACGTGCAGGTCCTACTTAGAACTAGGTCCCATTGAGTTCAGCAAGGCTTACTCTCAGGTAAGTGCAGCTTTAGGCTGCAACCCTGTGCACGCCAGTAGCTCAGTCCTAACCATGCCTACTCAGAAGTAGGGCCTGTTGAGTTCAATGTGGTTTACTCTTGGGAAAGTGGGGTTAGGATTACAGCCGTACTCCTCTGCCACTCAGTGGGACAGGCTTTTGAGTAGACATGTTGTGACAGGACAATCCTATACAAGGCTGCTGAGGGGTAATCAAGCTCTTGAATTTATAGCTCTTGAGATCGTAGAACAAATGCCAAAACTTCAAGGAAAAAAGGAGGTGGGAATATTTTCTTAACATTTCTGCTCCTGTTACCCTCTTTAGTAGAGGTGCATTTAGTTTCTTCTTTTGCCTGAGAATTTCCGACTAAGAAGGCACAGTTGGCACCAGGTAGAGATCCCTCTGTTCTCCCAGGCATTTTAACATTTTCCATTTTGGGAAGATTGCTGTTGGTTCTGGTTTACTCTTTTCTTGTTTGGGCTTTGATTTGTTTTTATCTCTCCTTTTTTGGCTGTACCTGTGTTTTGCATGAATTAGTTCTTATTCAAGCTTTGTCTGATTTTTTTTTCCTCATGAAGGGCAGTCAGCAAATATTTTTAAAGTCCAGGGTTCAAATACCCACTCAGGCATGAAGCTCACTAGGTGACCTTGGACCAATCAGCATCTTTCAGCTTAGCCTACCTCACTGGATTAATGTGAGGATAAAATGGGGAGCGGGATGTATGCCATTGTCAGCTTGTTGGAGGAAAGGTAAGATATCAATGTAATAAAATAATTCCTGTGTTCACTTACTTGGGTTTAAGTCTCATTGAAATCAGCAGAACCCCACTTTTCATCCAAACAGGCTCCCTGTATCTTAACAGGTTAGTACCAAACAAAAAAAGTTTACAGTCTTAACAGGCATGACACAAAAGGAATAAGGGTTGGAGAGGGAGGAGGCACATGAGTCGGTTGATAATGTTGCCATAATTTGTTGTGTGCATGTAGTACATTTGTTACCATTAGACAGGACAGCCTCTGCTCACAGAAGCCTTCAAGTACATTGCTGATTTATAAATTTATATATTGCATAATAAAAACCCAAGCAGTTTGCATAAAAGTAATAAAAATGCAACAATTTTCAATAATGTTTCCTTTAAACTGAGATGGAAACAAAACTATATAGCACAAAGAAAGCTGAACAGCACTGAAAATTATGTGCCAGTCTAGGAAATATTTGGTAGACATAAATGTTTCTAAGCGGCAATTAAAGGTGATTACTGTCTCCGCCTTACAAATTGCTTAAGGGCATTCCATAGGTTGGGTGCTGTCACCAAGAAGGTCTGCTTCCCTGTTGTCATCAAGTGACAATCGGCAGAGTCTCCTTCAAACATCTACCAGGGATCTGCTAGCTGGTTTGCTACATACAGTATTGGTGTTGTATAGAAGGTGGGTTATCTCTAGGATGTATAACCTCTGTACAGTGTCTTCTAAGTAACAGTGGTAGGAAACAAAATGTTTTGTGAGTAGGTGAACGAAGGAAAGTTTCTGGGGGAGTGCCAGCAAAGAACTTAAAGCTAGGGCAGCAGGAATTGGAGCCAAGTTTAGTCATCAGAGTATAATAAGAGCCCTGCTGGATCAGGCCACTGGTCCATCTATTCTATTCCTCCATTCTAATCTTACAGTGGCCAACCAGATGCTTATAGGAAGTCAGAGTTGTATAGTGCTGAACATTTTTTTCCACTTTTCGGTCTTTTGTGGCATCATTTTTAACAGTTTGTAGCAGCAAACAGTGGGGCGTCACTTTCATTCAAGTGGTGCTGTTCCATGACAACCAAAAAAAGTATACTTTCCACCTTCCAAGGAAAGTAAAATGAAAGTATTAGATTTTAAATACTACTGACGCTGTGCGACCTATTATGAATCTCAAAAATTAATACAGTTCGGTACAGCTGCATGATTATGAAAAGGCACCATTAATATAGAGAGACCTGCCAGCGATGCCTCATTAATGGAAGGTAAGCATGTTGGAGGATCCTTGGGTTTTATTTCAGTGACTTTTTCCTTTCGCCTTTGTACTGCTGAACCTTGAAAATGTAAAGAGCTTCAAGAATTTTTGAAACAAAAACTCCTGACAGGGGTTAAGTGCTCATTAAAATTAATAGGACTAGCAAAGGAGGTTGCTTCCAAGAAAACAAAAATCTGGGAACATTTTGGCCTGAATAATGACTGATTTCACTAGTAAATGGAGAGGTGAGCAATACAATATTTTTCTGCAGTCTTACCCCTTTTTCGCTTAAGAAAATAAAACTTTTTTTTTAAAAAAAGGTATGAGGCATAACCTCTCAAATATAATTAATTTTGAGTCTGGCACCCTGATCCTATATATTTGTATATGCTTATCAATGTACAAATATCCCAGAGGCATTGGAATAATACTGATTTGTTTATTTTTTAAAAAATGACATGCCACTTTTCCCCTTGAGGTAGGTTCACCCAAAGCGGCTTACAAATATAGAAGCAAACAGAGACCCAATAGCCAAAATGCAAAAGATCAAAGAGCCATGCAAACACAGTGAAGCATCATTGATACATAAAAGTATTTGTAGTCTCTCTGTTATCAAGTCCAGGCCGGTTGCACCCCTGTATATGATGGTCTAGAGGGAGGGCAACGCTATGGTCGGTCTCTTTAGTACTGAGTGGGCTATTTTTGGCTGCCAGGAGCACCAACTCCGTCAGGAGAGACGTTACCTTTTCTAATTTGATGTTAATTTCCTCCACTGTTCTTGCAGTCAGCAGACAGTGGTCCGCGAGTATTTCTGCATAGAGCGGTGCCCCCTCAGACGGTAGTTCATGGGATAATTCATGAGCGCTCATCTCAGCATTCTCCCCTGGGTGATCTCCACCCATTAAAGCATCCCCACCTACCTGGGAATGAATCCTATTTGGTGTGGTAGATTCTGAGTTCTGTGCTTTTACAAAATCGTCCATTTTGCTCTGCTTGCTCTTCTGTGGGCTCCCTTCTGGAGATGAGGCCAGTCGTTTCTTTTTCCTAGGCATTTTCCAGGGATAGAGCCGCTGTAAATCAGAGCAGCTTCTGCTGTAAATCAGGAAGCTCTCTCTCTCTCTTTCTTATGAAAGCCCTGTACAATGGAACCAAACTGCAGGTCCGATGCGGTCGACAGGGACAGCTATCGAACAGCATCGAGATGACTAGGGGGGTGAGACAGGGTTGTATTTTGGCCCCCACATTGTTTTGTCTATTCTTAAATGACCTAGAAGAGAACTTAATGGACCCAGATGGACACATTCCAAAAATAGAAATGAGAAGGACCCCTTTGTTGTTGTATGCTGATGACGCGGCCATCATCTCGCGTTACAGACCGGGCTTGAATTATCTGTTGAGGAAATTTTCTGATTACTGTTCTGGAAATGGTTTATCCATTAATTATGAAAAATCTAAAATTTTAGTCTTCGAAAGAAGATTCTCCCAGTCTAAATGGGTGCTGGATGGCCATAACCTTGAACAGGTAAAATACTTCAGTTACCTAGGGCTCACATTCCATCATACAGGATCTTGGAAGCACCATTGGCAAACCTCCCTTCAAAAGGCGGAGATTACAAAGCTAGCCATACATAGATTCTTCTTCACAAAGGGCGGCAAATATGTTCCAGCAGCCTTAAGGGTTTTCAACGCAAAGCCCGTTTCCCAACTCCTGTATGCAGCAAATGTCTGGCATAATGGGGACCTGCCAAAGCTAGATGGCTTTCAGGCAAAATTTATACGATCTCTGCTGCAGGTACCTAACTGCGTCCCTAACTCCGTACTTCTGTTGGAAGCTGGTGAATGCCCAATTTCAGCTAGAGCGTGGTGGGCTGCCCTAAAACATTGGCTCAGGATTTCAGTGTTTAATCTAGGGAAGGGTCTGTACCAACATTTGACCAATGAGGAATTCGTCAGCAAATGGTAGAAAACCATGGCTAAAAAAGCCACCTCTATTGGTCTGTCTCTCCCGCCCCCTCCACTGTATTACCTGGGCTATGAAGGCGCCCAAAAGGTTTTAAAGCAAAGATTATGGGACAATGCACACAGTGACTTGCGATCTCGGTCACACGCAGTCTGTAGTCCGCTGGCAGCAGGAGTTCAATATGGGTATGTCTTTGAGTTAACAGCTTACATCAAAAACCTAACAGTACCTAACTATCGAAGGCTTTTCACCAAAGCCAGACTGAATGTCTTCCCCTCTGCAGTGCTGGATGGTAGGTTGAGAGGAGTTCCCTACCAGGACAGACTTTGCTCGTGTGCTCAAGACATCGATTCCATAGATCATATTTTGTTACATTGTGCGAAGTATGAGCAGGCCAGGGCTGAACTGATACTACCCTTGCTGGTGCCTTTCCCAGGAAAGTCAGAGGCTCACTATGTCAGGTTCCTACTGGAAGACCGGACAAAAGCTAGAACGTTGGCAGTGGCAAAGTTTTTATCGGTGGTTGCAAGAACAAACGAGCCCTATATTCCAAACAAAGTGCTTGATTAACCTGGAGGTAGACTGTATGAACTCTGTATTAATTTGTAATGTTTTGTTGGGTCTCTGGACCGTAATAAAGATTGATGATGATACATAAAAGTGGCAATAGAATCAAAACCGTGCTTAAAAGGGGGGTATTTTCAGTTTCCAGCACATCTCCAATTGCTAGGAGGTCAGAACACTCAGGAAATAGGAGGTAGTACTCCTTTCCTGAGCTCTAATGTTTCCTTTCAATGGTGCTTTGCAAGCAGAGGTGACTTGTGCAAGGAAGAGGCACAACCAATTTTGCCATGGGCCTAAGCAACTTCAAGCATCTTGATAGGCCTGATTTGGGCTGCGGAGGACGCTAGGATTGCGTTTAGCCCCTAGAGCCCTCCGGCCTTATATAACTTCCTGTTGTCCTAACCCATCACATAAATCAGGACAAAACCTCCTGATGATAGATCCTGTTATCTACGCAAGAGCTATGCTTTCTTTCTAAATGCCTTACATCCAAGAGTTCTAACCACAGAGGGCCTTCTCGGTGGCTGCACCCCTGTTATGAAACACCCTTCCAACAGGGATCCTTTTAGCATCTACAACACTGCCTTTAGCAGTAGGTAAACACTCCTGTTCAACCAAGCTTTCTGATTATTCTGTTCTGCATTACTTAGAGGGCATATCTGTTAGCGTAGTTTGCTTATGCTGGAACAGCTTTTTGTGTTGCTTTTATTGCTCTTTTTGAGACATTGTTCCTAATCTGGTGATGGTCATTCTTGTTTTTGTTTGAAAATGGTTCTTCTTTGCATGAGCTGCCTTGAATACTACTGTGTATCAGAAAGACAGCACAAACATACTGTCTGGTGGATAGGAAATATTTGTTTTATTTAGCAAAATGTTATACTGCATAATTAGAAAGAATTCACTCAGCGATTTGCATAAAATAATCTAGAACTTTCATAAGAATTTGCCGATAAAATCAACAGTTCCAAAAACAATGAAATAGAATAAAATTACTGGTCTGGGTATAGGGTTGTCTAACAAAACTTTTTAGCGGGCATCAAACACAATGCAGCTAAGGTGCCTGTCTAATGTATTAATATTGCTATGTTTGCAGTGCAGTTGATAAGCGCCAGGGCAATCTCAACTTGGATGCTGCTTCTGCTGCTGAATAGCTCTGACTCAAATCCAGTGTGCACTTTCATACCATTACTGACTTTGACTGTGCTGACAGCGGCAAAATCTTTTGCCAGAGAGCAAACGGGGCTTGTCCACTTGCAGAATTGAGACAGGAAGTAGCAGATGTTTTTCTTCTGAGTAGGATCTGTCAAAAACTGTACAAGATATCTGAATATGTTTCACTTCTGATTTTTGTAAGCTGCTCTGGAATTTTTTTGAGCTAAAAAGCAAGGTAAAAAAATCTTCCAAATAAAGAAGGGAGCAATCATGACTCCCACCCACCCAGCCCCGTGGGGCTTTATGGAGTACAGGGGTGACTTCCACATCTGCAGCTTGGCCAGAGATGGTAGCCAGGGCAGAAGGTGGGTAGGAAGTTTCATCGGGCCCAGTGCCATTAAGGAATGGAAGTGAGCTCAGTTTTGGATCCAACCCCTAAAAATCATGTAAATTCACAACTAAATAACTTGGATGCATTGTTATTTGCATCTTTCGTTGGGCTGTACTTACATGCTTTCATTATTTTTTTTAAAAAATCCCATAGAAGGATTGTCTTTAAAATATTCCCAAATAGCAACCTTCCCCAACCTGATGCCTGCCAGATGTTGTTGGACTGCATCCCTCATCAGCCCTAGTCACTATGACCCATGGTCAGGGATGATGAAACTTGTAGTCCAAATTGTTGGGAAGGCTGTTAGTGGCAGGTCTTTGGAGCAGGGAAATGCAGCAGTGTTGACTTACCACATTTTGAAGTAATACACATTTGCATCTAGAGAGCTCTCCCCCCATTATATTTAGAGGGTTGGACGCGGGTGGCGCTGTGGGTTAAACCACAGAGCCTAGGACTTGCCAATCAGAAGATCGGCGGTTCGAATCCCCGTGATGGGGTGAGCTCCCGTTGCTCGGTCCCTGCTCCTGCCAACCTAGCAGTTCGAAAGCACGTCAAAGTGCAAGTAGATAAATAGGTACCACTCCGGTGGGAAGGTAAACAGCGTTTCCGTGCACTGCTCTGGTTCACCAGAAGTGGCTTAGTCATGCTGGCCACATGACCTGGAAGCTGTACGCCGGCTCCCTCGGCCAATAAAGCGAGATGAGCGCTGCAACCCCAGAGTCGGCCACGACTGGACCTAATGGTCAGGGGTCCCTTTACCTTTACCTTATGCAATATTAGTCAAGGGTAGACATATTGAAGTTAATGCACATGGCTAACGTAGATCCATTCACTTCAATGGGTCTACCTCTGAGTAGTAGGTAGCTGGATACATGTCAGAGTCTACAGTTGTCTAGCTGCACATTTGTGTCATCCCTACATCTTGTAATACGTCCTGTAAGGTTATTATACATTTTGTGAAGAATTTTCTTTTCTCTGTCCAGAAACTACTGCTGATTACTTTCACTGACTTCTATTGTGTGTGTGTGTGTGTGTGTGTGTGAGAGAGAGAGAGAGAGAGAGAGAGAGAGAGAGGTAGAAGCAGTTTCTCTCTCCACACAGTTCATAAATTTATAAACCCTCTTTCTGGCCCCTCCTTCGTCATCTTTGTTTTGTTTCATTAATCCATTTGTCACACTTAACTGTCATGACTAATAGCCCTTGATAGACCTATCCGCCATGACTTCTTCTAATCCTTTTTTGTACTAGTGAAGACAGATGCAATATTTAAGGAGCGGTCACAGCGGATTCTTCACCCTTGCATGAGACCCTCTGCAAAATTTGCATAAGAAGCATATGTGCCAGTACAATGGTTCAGCCACTGGGTTTAACCCGCACCCCTTGCTCCAGTCAGGCACGTGAAGATTTATTCATTTATACTTTCATTCTTCATCTTAGTAAAGAACAAACCCACAAACGTGTTTAAAAGATGCTCTTGGGGATTGTAGATGATGTAATGGAATAGCCAACCAGTGCCCTTCATAGCCAGCTCTTCTTTGGTTAAGAATGAATCATGCTGCCAATTTGTGGAACACATTTTCTAGAGCTCATGCTGGGAGAAAAAGAAGATATTACCTTTGTATTAAATCCTGTAATCATGGAGTAAATTTTGAAGTACAAGAACTCATCATTGTAGCCCCTAAAGTCCTTAACCATGCCCCCAAGGAAAGTCCAAAAATTCAGGCAGATGTGCTGATCCATTAAAACACACATAAACAGAGCAGCAGTATACAGCATTATACCCAGTTTAATTAGATTCACTGTCTGTGCTTTTGTTCATCAAGTATTGGAGAGTAAGCTCCATTGAACTCAGTGCTTCTTCTGACTGTACAAGTTTGAGATGTACAGCAGGTGGAATGTTAACAAAAGCTCTTCAGCCTGCTGAATTGCAACCTTTAGTTTTCTGTTAGAAATGCAAATAGGCTTGCAAAAAACAACAACAACATTTAAACTACTAGTTTGAAGTAGGAACACTATGAAAGAAAAGGAGAGAAGAATCTAGCCCATGCTTGATTGCTTTTCCTCTCGTTCTCTGACTTGCTTGATGCTGAAAGTGTAAATCTCACCATATCTTCCTCAAGTGCTTGTGCGTTTTTGTGTGTGTTTCCCTCTCTCAAATATGACTTGGCTGGAATGTAGTGTTGTACAAGGGTACAAAAATTGCTCTGCCACTTTTGCTTCTGGCCCTGTCCACTACTGGTGCGTGGCCCCTGGAAGGTCATCCAGGAAAAAATGTGGCCCTTAGGCTGAAATAGTTTCCCCACTACTAGTGTAGGCAATATTGGGCCAAACACACAAATAGCTTGACCTGGCATAAGGCAACTTCCTGTATTCCTTTGCTGCTGCCCCTGAGGAAAGCCCAGCTCCTATACTCTCCACATGTGCAGAGTGACTGTCTACATTTCTGCATTGATATTTCATTTCAGCATTGGACTCTTGTTAGATTGCCGTGTTTTGTTTAATCTAGCACAGTTGTTTTTTTAAAATTTCAGGGTAATGTTTTCACCCAAAGCTCCATATTCTCTCATATATATATATTCAGAAACTGCTTCTGTTCACATGTGCCACAAGTCTTACATAACCCAGACAGGCGGTGGGAGCAAGCTCGTTGCTGTGACATTTATTACACTGAGCACGAGGCTTCTATTCTGGTTCCCCTCAATACCAGGTGCCACTCTAGGTGGCAGGTGGTAGGTTTTAATCAGCGGCTTTGCATTGCTTCATATGTTAGCCTTGTTATTTTTATCTCTTTTTGGGGTATGTTTTTGCTCTATTCCTTATTTGAGCAGCTTCTAAATTACTTGATAATTAATGCGGCAACTCGTTGCTTCCCCTGAATACAGAGCCCAAGCCGGTGCAATCCTTTCAGTGACAGCTATTTATACATATATGTGTGGCATGGGCTGTGTTTTCCTCCCCCATGTTTCAAAGCAGGGTACATCTCACTCCACCCCCAGTGTGTGCATCTTGGCTTCCCTAATATGCTTTGTGCAGCTTCCTGCATTGTGTCTGATGAGAAGCTCGACTCGGATCCAGATGGGGGGAGTGTTGCATTGCTCTGCTCTTGCTCCTTTCCCTGCGAAAGCCTTGCCATGCTGCAGCCAGATATCGCAGCCTTAATTACACCTGCTGTGCCTCCCAAATAATGTGAATTCATGTGGGGCGGCAATGTGAAGAGGTGCCTTACTGTGATTGCTAATGACTTCGGATGCTGGTCAGTTGCATAGCTGCCCTCCTTTCACTTATGAGATTTGCTGCTGCAGCAGTTTAGCTCACCAGTCTCCCCGGGACTGCAATTTATCCTGATGAGGAGCTTGCCTTTTCTGTATGGAAACAACAGTTAAGGCTCATCTTCACTGAAATCATAAGGGTAGGTCTCTGTATAATCTTATGGACCCTGCAGATTCTTGAAAAGGATTGAAGAGCTCAATGGACTACGCAGTACAGTGGTGCCCCGCAAGACGAATGCCTCGCAAGACGGAAAAACCGCTAGACGAAAGGGTTTTCCGTTTTGAAGTTGCTTCGCAGGACGAATTCCCCTATGGGCTTGCTTCGCAAGACGAAAATACCTTGCGAGTCTTGAGATTTTTTTTCGCTTTCCCCCCCCTTTATCTAATCTGCTAAACCTTTAATAGCCTTTAATAGCCTTTTAGCAGCTAATCCCCTAAGCCTTTAAGCCTTTAATAGCCGCTAAACCGCTAATAGCGCTAATAGCGCTAATCCGTCAATGGGCTTGCTTCGCAAGACGAAAAAACCGCTAGACGAAGACTCTCGCGGAACGGATTAATTTCGTCTTGCGAGGCACCACTGTAAATATTTTTCAAATAATAATAAAAAGCATTGCCACTGGAGTCAGATGACCATTGTCTTTGCAGTGATTTTTCTATTTCCAGAATGTAAAGGTTGTGCAGAAATAAGCACACAGTTAAGTTCCACACTTGTGACATCAGTCCGGCATTCTGAAATCCAAACTAGTACAGCATATTATCTGACAAGGCCATATGGTTCTGGCCCAAGAGCAATTGGTTTCACTGGCAATGAGGGCTGATGGGACATGGAGTTCAGCAATATCTTATACCCTGTCTTATACCGAATCCTTAGTCAATAGAACCCACCACTGTTAGATCCCAAGACAACATAGAGATGGATCCTGGGAGTTCTTTACATCTTCCATGCAAAGTTCCTGGTTGAGACCATCCAACTAATGATTCTGGATGACTTCTTCACAATATATCGTTTCTGTAGAACAAAATGCCTGGGTGTCCAGAGTGAATGAAAGAAAAAAAAAATTATACATGTTCATTGTGTGTGATTTTAGCAGGTTACATGGTGAAGCAGTTATTGAATAGTTGTGCTGGGGAGATAAGTCACTTTGCAACAGAATAAGATAAGCAGTTCCCAACCCCTCCACCCCCACCCCCACCCCCACCCCCACCCCACTACTAGCTTAATTGCCGAAAGGTAGTCAGAGAATCTGGGCTGCTTGCAGGAGCCTGGAGGGAATGTGAAGAGGAACCACCACAACATTGTCCTAGAAGTGACAAGCAGCAGCAGCAATAACAACTCCAGGGACTCCTGAGATAACTTGAAAATACGAAGTGCACAAGCTTGTGTTTGCAAACCTGTGGTTCGTTCCTTCATTAGGAAGCAAGGGTTGTCTGTGGCTCCTTGCCGGGTGTTGGTTTGTCAGCAAAGCTGGCTTTGCTAGTGCATGTTGTGATGGGTAAAAAGGAATTTAAAAGAGGTAGACTGGCAAGAAAAGGACGCACAGCTACAGCATCTGCCATGTCAAACAAAACGGCTATAGCCTTGAGTTGGCCGCCATATGCTGGCCCCAATTGCACATCACTTTAGACCAGCCTTTCTCAACCTGTGGGTCCCCAGATGTTGTTGAACTACAACTCCCATCACCCCTAGCTAGCAAGGCCAGAGCTCAGGGATGATGGGAGTTGTAGTCCAACAACATCTGGGGACCCACAGGTTGAGAACCGCTGCTTTAGACCATCATTAAAGCTTAACTATGGTTTAAAGAGCACACATGCTGGTGCATGAGACTCAAACTGTGGACACTTGTCCCTTTCCTGCTCCTGCCACACATTGCCAGGAGCTAAGCAATGGTTTGGCTTAGTGCAGGTTAGAGTTCAGCTAACATCCTAAGTCAGGTGTGCAAGCTACGGTGGTACCTTGCTTCTCGAACTTAATCCATTTGGGAGTCCCAAAACTGTTTGAAAACCAAGGTGCGGCTTCCGATTGGCTGCAGGACCTTCCTGCACTCAAGTGGAAGCCACATTGAACATTTGGCTTTTGAAAAACATCCGCAAACCAAAACACTTATTTCTGGGTTTGAGGTGTTCGGGAGCTGATTTGTTTGGCAACTGAGCCGTTCGAGAACCAATGTACGACTACTGCAGAAAGGTAGAATCCACATTTCTCCCTCTGCCCCACTTTTTCTTCTGGCTCCACCCAGAAGAACCTGCTGGATGAGGCCAATGGCCCATCTAGTCCACTATCCTGTTCTCACCGTGGCTAACCAGATGCCTGTAGGACCCAAGTACGAGAGCACTCCCCACTCCATGGGTTTCATAGCATAACCATCATGGCTAGCAGCCATTGATAGCCTTATCCTCCGTGTGCCTCCCAGAAGGCGCGGAAAGGAAAGGAACCTAATAAGTGTTTCTCATCCCTGCACGGTTGGGGCAAGGACAAAGTTTTGCCTTGCTGCGGTGCTTGAAAGAATACGGGGCCTCTTTTTGCGTCCTGTCAGCTTATAAAGCCAAAAGGGAGACCCTGATCAGGTCATTTATCTTTCTTAACTTTTTTTCAAAGCCTTGAAAATTGTCAAATCAGGGAATGTCTCTTTTGATCAGGGTGCACGATACCTTCTTACTGTTAATCATTGCTATCTCCTTCCTCCTGCTGCCAAGCAATTGGTATCCAGTGCTACTTTCCCATGCCTGTAATGATTTATTCATGCCATGTTTTAATTTCTCAGCAGAGCCAGGGATATTGATTGCTCAGCATGGTGACAAGGGGGAGGAATCCATATTCATTCTAGGGGGGAAAATATTTAAAGACTTCGTTGCTGCAAGAAAATAGCTAATGCTACTTCATGCATTGCTTCAGTATTTACATCCTTTGAAGTGAATGTCACCATTCTGATAAGTTTCTTTTATAGCTGTTTTTTATTGGCTTTCAGCTGTCCTTTGATAACCCCCACACTTCTAGGACTTTATGCTGTGCTTACCTTAAAAAATAATTCTGATGTCCCAGGTGGATACAGTGGTGCCTCGCAAGACGAAAAGAATCCGTTCCGCGAGTCTCTTCGTCTTGCGGGTTTTTTCGTCTTGCGAAGCAAGCCCATTAGAGGTTTAGCGGCTTAGCGCTACAGTATTAGCGGCTTAGCCGGCTCAAAGATCAGCTGATAAGCAGCTTAACGATCAGCTGATAAGCGGCTTAGCATCAGCTGTTAAGCGGCTTAAAGATCAGCTGATAAGCGGCTTAGCCATCAGCTGATAAGCGGTTTAGCGGCTTGGGAAAAAGGGGGGGGAAGGAAAAAAACCCCGCAGGAACTCGCAAGACATTTTCGTCTTGCGAAGCAAGCACATAGGAAATTCGTTTTGCGAAGCACCTCCAAAACGGAAAACCCTTTCGTCTAGCGGGTTTTCCGTCTTGCGAGGCATTCGTCTTGCGGGGCACCACTGTACATTTCTTAGCTGTTCCGGGGCTAGGTACATCTACAATCCATTCTAGATCATGTTTTTGATAGTGTGAGGCAGTGTGTAAGGAGCTACTGGCTCTGCAATCAACCCCACCATGTGGTGGACCGTTGCATTGCAGGTGGCAACTTCTGAATAAAGTACTGTACAGTTATGTCCTGGACAAGAAAGAGTATAAAAGACTTCCTGTTCCAGCTGAGCTCTGCTTGAGGTCTACCTGAGTTCCAGGAAATTTCCTGAAAGTTTAGTTAATGTGGGTTTTTTGGTCCTGATTCGTTCCTCACTCCTGTCTCACTGTTTATGTCAGGGGTCAGCAAACTTTTTCAGCAGGGAGCCAGTCCACTGTCCCTCAGACCTTGTGGGGGGGCTGGACTATATTTTTTTTTTGGGGGGGGAATGAACGAATTCCTATGCCCCACAAATAACCCAGAGATGCATTTTAAATAAAAGCACACATTCTACTCATGTAAAAACACCAGGCAGGCCCCACAAATAACCCAGAGATGCATTTTAAATAAAAGGACACATTCTACTTGTGTAAAAACACGCTGATTCCCGGACCATTTAGAAGGTGATTGGGCCGGATCCGGCCCCCGGGCCTTAGTTTGCCTACCCATGGTTTATATTCTCTTTCTATCTTGCTCTTTGTTCCTGGTTTGACCTACAAGTCTTGGCGCCTGTCTCAGCTCAGATCACTGTTCATGGCTCAGTCCTGAAATACAAGGTGAACATAGGACAGGGGTCTAGATTCAGGTAGGTATCTGTGTTGGTCTGACGCAGTCGAAATAAATAAATAAAAAATAAAAAAATTGTCCAGTAGCACCTTAGAGACCAACTAAGTTTGTTCTGGGTATAAGCTTTCATGTGCATGCACACTTCTTCAGATACACTGAAACAGAAGTCACCAGACCCTTATATATATAGTGGGAGGGTGGGGTGGGTTTTTTCTCAGAAGGGTAGTAGGAGATGGGTGATTGACTCAATGGGTATGGTAACAACTGCAATCAGTCCTACAGGAAAAAGCAAGGGATAGTATGCAGATGACCAAAAATAGCTTTAGCATAGGACAGGGGTGGCTCACCTGCACCCTGAGGTCAATATCTAGCCCCCTGGAGGTTTTTTGTGACACATATTTTTAAGTCATTTTAACTGTTCTCATAGGGCCCCCAGTGCAATGATACTTTGATTCCAAAAGGTTTTTGGGCATCACTGAATGTGTCCAGGTTTTTTAAAAAGCTCACTCTCTCTCTCTCTCTCTCTATATATGGAATATAATATGATCACTTGCAGGGAAGCCATGCTGAGATTCTGTAATGCCAAAAGGTTTCTGTACTTAAAACCCCCACATATTTTACTTGACCATTCCCATGGATACACCTGTCATTGACATGGTCAGGTAGGAATGTGCTGCCAACAAGCACACCTCTGTGGACATGCCTATCGCCATATGTGCAAGGTTCACCTGAAAGAGTTTCAGGAGAATGGTTAGCTTGAAAGGGAGCTGTTAACCCAGCAGAACTGCAGCGGAGCCTGAGACTTTCATAGCTAGTTCCTCATTTACCAGGTTTTCTGCTGGGTTATTTTGAGGGACAAAACTAGGGCTTTGCAAGGGGAAAGGCCCACTGCACTATCCCTACAAGTCCCCTTCTAGTGCTGCAGCAGAGATGTTTTAAGACTGGTGCTGTTGAAAATGTAGATCAGCCCTGAAAGCTACAGAAGTCATCCAGACATCCTCTTGTGTTAACCTCCCATTGAATATTCTGTGTTCATATACATATCTTACTGCATATCCTTTAACCAATATGTCTCACTGCATGTCTTCTGTCTTCTGCCTTTCCCGAACATGCTGGCGCTCATCCCAGTTAATTTTTAAAGAGTTGCTCTCAGAATATTGGAGGCAGATGCTGCTCCGAGTCGAGAATGATTTGCTCTTGATTTTAATAAGTTCTTAAGAGCACACCCAATTGTCAGATGCCCAGTTTCTGAGCATGTACTTAGCGTTGTGCTTGCCACGAGGTACCTTTCCCACTGGAAACTGCAGTGCTGTGTCAAACTCAATACCGTTTCTCAGCAGAGACAAAGGTAAATGTCAAATTTCACTTGTCGCCATGGTTTGACACCTGCCTCAATCTCTGCAAGGAATGTGCCAATCATCTTTACCCTTTTCCGGTTTGTTTCATCGGAAGGTGTTAACTCTGGTCAACCATTTGTCTGTGTGCATGAGCTGATTCTGTGAAAGGGGTGTGTGTGTGTTGTGTCAAGTGAAGAGGTGACCTCTTCTCTGGCCTTGTTTAGCTAACAGCTAAAGATGTTTTCTTTCAAAGGGTACAGATGACTAGGAGATGCTTGCTCAATAAGCATTGCTGGCTGGTGGCCCATAGATAGTTTTACGTCTTACCTCCTGGGTTGGGGGAAATGTGAAGGAGAGAGAAGTTTTTGCAGCTGACTGAGGGCATCTAAGGGAACACTTTCCTCTGGGGAAAACCTAATGTTCCTCTTAAGATGAGCAGTGCCTACATATTGGCCTGCTTTCCCATTCTCTCTCTCTCTCTCTCTCTGTCTCTCTGTGTGTGTACTCTCTCTCTCTTTCACTTACATGCAAGGAGATGGGAGAGAAATACGATTTTGTTTGCATTTTAATGGAAAACTACCCAATCCACACTGCTCAAACCAATATGTGAAAGAAACACAGCTATCCTTGCAATTTGTACTTCCCCCATATTTAGTAGTGCAGTTCCACAACCCAAGCAGTGTGTATAAGAATGCATATATTAGGGACATGAGTGCACAAAAATGCATATGTTGGTGCAAATGGCAAATATGCATTTAAATGAGGGGAAACCACTTGCAGAAATATGTAACTCAATCAAGCCTGCGTACAACGATGTGCCTTTTGAAGAAATTCACAGTAGAATACTGTACTGATGAACTTTAAATAGCAACACCCGAAACCCCTACAACTTTCTGCAGAAGTGTGGAGAAACTGAAACTGACATATTTGTCCTTCCTTAGCGATACAGCTGTGGTTCTCCAGCCTCACAAAGGAAACTGAAGAGAAGCTGTTCCTGAATTTTCCTACTGCTCAGGAAAGTGGGCAGCTCCTAACTAGAGAAGAAGTAGGACACTCACCCTGCCGCTCATTAAAGTGGGAGAGGGAATAAAAGAGAAGAGGATGGTTCTGTGACTGATAGAAAACTGAAATTTCATACACATCTCATAAAACATACCTGGATTACTTTTTTATTTATTTAAATAAAGCTTTGAAAGATCGATATTGTTGAATGGTTTCTTTAAATGTAAAGGTTCATCACTGTTCCACCCGATGTGTATGTCTGTAAGGGGCCAGAGCAAGGGCCAGAGCAAGATAATGAGACCCAGCTTTACAGCTGTGAAACATAGCAGGTGCTGCTGAGTTGTATTGATTAAGCTGTGTTGGCAATTGGGTGTAGTATATAAGGAGCAGCACCTAGCTCTCCCATTACCCTGGGGAATGGGTTGGTGGTTGGGTCTGGTTTGTTGTTGATGTATTTAGTGTATAAGGAGTTTTTGATTTTGTAATTAAAACCTTGTTTAAGTTATTTTTGAGTCCCTTTTTAATGCATGGTCTCCCCAGCAAGCTCTCTGCAGCGCTACCATACTGCAAATAGCCAACAGATATTTATATCTCTCTTGCTTGAAATATACAAAACCCTTTCACATATAATGTATCCGCATGTCTAAGGTAGAGCAGAGCGGCACCACTGTCCTCAACCCTTTAAGCACTCCCATGTGAGTGGGATCCCCGCGTGATCAAGGTATCATCACATGTAACCTTTTCCGGACTTCCATGGTGAACCTGCAGGTGCCAAGGTGCTATACTAGTATTGGCAAACAAGGCCCTAAATGGCCTGGGACTGAAGTTCCACAAAGAGCACCTTCCCCAATACCAACTATCTCAGGCCTTCGACCAGCAGGGGAGGCTGTCTTGGTGGCACTGTCACTAGAGGTTGCCCAGTTGGCAGAAACCTGTGACGGGGCTTTCTCAGTATTGGTCCCCCATCTGTGAAATGCCCAACCTCATGAAGTGTCTCAGTCTCCCTCACAATTGTCGTTTAGGGGAAATTTGAAAACATTCCTTTTTACCCAGGCATTTGCTGGTGGAAAGATCTGTCCCCGGTGACCCTGAAATTATAAGATTTAGGATTGTTTTTAGGATTTTTACTGTTTCTACTGTTTTTTGAAGGTCATTTCTTACTGTTTTTAGAAGTTGGAGTGTAGTGTTGACACCACTGATTTTGGATTTGGAGAAGGAGCATCTTTATCCAAAAATAAAAAGCCCTTCACCCTAGGGTGCCAGGTGGAGAACACACTGAATTATTTGAGCTCCCTCTGCAAAAATAAGATGAAGAAGCTTTTCAGTTTTACTGTCTCTCTTTCTCTTAGATGAGCAAAAGAAAAAAGACCTGTTAAAACTTTTTCAAACTTTTTGTTTCAATTTCTAGCATTCAGTTTGAGTTATAGACTTTTTCTACTTTGCTTGCATGCTCACATTGCTCTAAACTGCTCTTAGAGTCACTGTCTGCAGATTTCTTGGGTTTTTTAATGTATGAATTTTTATGGTGTGAACCACTTTGAGTTTATTTTTTAAAGAAAAACAGGATATACCTTTCTAACTATGGCCCCACTGTTTTCTGAGGTTTGCTTAATGGTAACATGGAAGAGACATCACCTTGCCAACAAAGGTCCGTATAGTAAAAGCTATGGTTTTCGCAGTAGTGATGTACGGAAGTGAAAGCTGGACCATAAAGAAGGCTGATTGCCGAAGAATTGATGCTTTTGAATTATGGTGCTGGAGGAGACTCTTGAGAGTCCCATGGACTGCAAGAAGATCAAACCTATTCATTCTTAAGGAAATCAGCCCTGAGTGCTCACTGGAAGGACAGATCGTGAAGCTGAGGCTCCAATACTTTGGCCACCTCATGAGAAGAGAAGACTCCCTGGAAAAGACCCTGATGTTGGGAAAGATGGAGGGCACAAGGAGAAGGGGACGACAGAGGACGAGATGGTTGGACAGTGTTGTTGAAGCTACCAGCATGAGTTTGACCAAACTGCGGGAGGCAGTGGAAGACAGGAGTGCCTGGCGTGCTCTGGTCCATGGGGTCACGAAGAGTTGGACACAACTAAATGACTAAACAACAACAACAATATGGAAGAGAACCTTTTGAGTGTCCCAGCTCTGGAACATCATCGCCTCTGAATTTTGAGTGGTGTTGATGCTGTTGAACTTTCTGCATCAGCTAAAGACCTGGCTTTTTGCCCAGGTCTTTGCTGGAGTTTAATGTCAGATTAAGTGCTGCCACCTCTCTACTACTGGCATTGTTGTTTTATGTGGGCATATTTATCTTTGAACTTGTAACCCACTCTGAAATTGCTTGCAATAAAAAGCAGAACACTGGCAAGCCTTAGGCCACCCCTGGAATACAGTGTCCAGTTCTGGGTACCACTGTTAAAGAAGGATGTTGACAAGCTGGAACATGTGCCGTGGAGGGCAACCAAGATGATCAATGGTCTGGAAACCAAGCCTTATGAGGGCGTTGGGTATGTTTAGCCTGGAGAAGACTGAGAGGCAGTATGATAGCCATCTTCAAATATCTAAAGGGCTGTCACAAGCAACTTGTTTTCTTCTGCTCCAGAAGGTAGGGCCCAAACTCTTGCATTTCAAGGGGTCAGGCCAGATGGTGTAGTGGTTAAGAGTGGTAAACTCCTAATCTGGGGAACCGGGTTCGTGTCTCCGCTCCTCTACATGCAGCTGTTGGGTGACCTTGGGCTAGTCACACTTCTCTGAAATCTCTCAGCCCCACTCACCTCACAGAGTGTTTGTTGTGGGGGAGGAAGGGAAAGGAGAATGTTAGCTGCTTTGAGACTCCTTCGAGTAGTGATAAAGTGGGATATCAAATCCAAACTCTTCTTGGGGTTCCTTCCAATTCTGTTATGGTTTTCCACCTTAATGCTTGTCATGCTATTATAGCTACTAAGTCAACTTCAAGTTTTGTTGTTAAGATTTAAGACATCCAAACAACTTGGGACTAGGAAAGCTAGCTGGCCACCTCAGACAAAGCTGATCTTTAAGATCTTCAGAGGAGCCCTGCATGGTCATTCCATGGCCAGCAAATCTTTACCTAGTTGAAAATACGGAAGTAGGACTTCTCAGTGATAGCACCCACCCTCTGGATCTCCCTCCCTTATGTAATTGACCTTTAAACACCTATTGATAATGCAGGACTTTGGTAATACACTGCCCTGAGTGAGGACAAAATTTGGCACACACACCTTTCCCCCAATATTATCTATTTTCACAATAATTCCTTTTGGTACAGTTTCCATTTTTATGGATCTTTTCAGTATAAAATAGGTTTATTATTATTATTAATTATTAGTAGTAGTATTATTAGTATTTTCTGTCAGCAGTGCTCGACTCCCTGTGTGGAAAAACCACCCACACCACCCAAAATCCAGCACTGGATAATGTATTTGTTTACCCAAGGTTCCCTGGACTCTGACTCTTAATTTTTCACATGACTCAGTTTTATTTGTGCTGTGCAGATGCATCTTAGTTTTTACGAAGTTTTGTTACATGTAACATTTTTATTATGTGAACCCCTTAGTATTTTATTATACTAAGCAGCATAGTAAATAAATGAAAACCTGGTCAACAAAAGTATGTTCAAGAGCTATCTGCAGCTTTCCATTTTCTTTCTAGTTACCTCATTTAGATTAATGCCTAAATTTACCCTGAAAGGTATTTACCAATGTGTGCTATTTTGGAAAGAAAGAAAAATGCAGAGCCAGAATCTCTATTATTTGCATAGACAAATCTCTTTGCAACCACAATTTTGCTCAGCGGTCATTTTTCACTACCTGATAGTGTCATTAAATGCTATAGCAGGCATCAATAACATGCTTTTGTGTTAGTAAAAAAGAAAAGAAAAGGTGTTTTTATGCAAGATGCCGTAGTTCACAACTGAGCAATATGTAAGATTTTTCTTCTAATTATTCCCTTCTTTTGCAAGATGAGTTCACCATGTAATGCTTCTCGCTGAAGCCATCTCATCTGACCTCTGCTGGCAGTTTGAAGTAAACCACGGAATGGCCTTAAAATTATCATTCTGCATAACTGTTACCCATTTGTGTAAATCTGATCTGGAAAAATTAAATGTAATGCAGGGGCAATGTAGCAACATTAATTGGGAACAACCCTCAAATCCAAAGTCTGATCTCTATGGCTTCTCAAACTATAACCTTTCAAAGCCTCCATCCAATATCCCCTTTTTTACAAAGGAGGGAAATGTAAGCCTTCCTCCTTCAACAGGCATTTGGCTAGATTTTATTTCCTTTGCTGGCATGTGAGTTTGTAAATGGACATAACCTTTCCTTGCTTGTATTATTTGTTATTAGCTGATTTAAAACAAACCAAGAAACTGGCATTTTCATGTTCATTTGCATTTTAAGATGTCTTGAGCAGTTTCAGGGAAAAGGTGGGATAAATGATCGGATCCTGTGTGCAAGGGCACCATGCTTGTTTAGTTTTTCTGTTTATGTGCCGCCATCATTTTTAGTGGAGTAAATGTACATTGAAAGCATAGTTTCTGCATTAGGTTTTTCTGGATTGGGTCCTAAAGAGCAGCAGTGGGGAACCTTTGGCCTCTAAGCCTACTTAGCCCACCTGGTCTTTTATTTTGGCCAAGCCACACCCACCCGCGCTACACCTGATGACATCTTGGAACCCTCCTATTTTCCATCTAACAGATGCTGCTGCTCCTGCCCCATTCTGGCTGGCATCACAGCAATCACAACAAAGAAAGCCTTTGCAAGCCCTGACAGCTGATCACCGACGCTTCTGTGAACAGCATTAGGCAGTGTTAGGATCGTCCTACTCTCATGTAGGACCCTTGCAGAGACACATGCCCAACTGGCATGTTCTCTCTCTCCTGGTTGATAGTTTGGGAGCTTCAAAGGCTTTCTTTTGCCCGAACATCACAGCGACTGATGCCAACAGACATCAGCACAGTCAGGGATCCACAGAGTATTCCGGTTCGTGTAACAGACCTCAGCAACTCAGCATTTTGGCTAATCTACGTTTATTTACATATACAACACTCGGCACATTCTGACATAGCTCCTTCCTCTTTCTCATCAGACAGCAAAGAGAGAGAACAAAGGACAATAATCCCATTTCACAGAACACAGTAACACAAACATCCTGTCTCCGTCACTTCCCACACTGTGGAATGAAAACATACACCATCATGTGATAGATAACAATCCCAAGACTGCAAACACAGGCAATGAATCTCCAACATCCTCCCCTGATTCATGCACTTTGTTGCAGTCATCAGTGTAACTGCAGCAACCATACAGCTGTCATACACACAGTATACCCCTGTACCACCCGTTCCACCCTTGGAACTACCTGTAACTGGCCTGGCCTTGGGCCTTACCATCTTGCACTTCTGACTAGTCTTGGCGTCATAACCCTTCTGACTATCAGGAAGTCTCACACTTGGCAGTCACCTGATGTCATTGTGGCATTGGGGGAAATTAACAGTTGGGTGGCCCAGCCACCTATCACATGACCTGCGGGGAAGGTAAAGATCCAACTCATTGGCCAAATGGGTTCCCCTGCTTGAAAAAATTCCAGCTATGGTCACAATAACTCCATACATTTAAAGTACTGTAATACCACTTTCAATGGCTTCCACAAAAGTATCCTGGTAACTCTAGTTTGTTAGGGATGCAAAGATTTATTTAGAGACCCCTGTTCTGCTCACAGGGCTACAATTCCCAGAGTTCACCGTGAAGAAGGATTGATTGTTAAGCCTCTCTGCGACAACTGTAAGTGGGATACAAACTGTTGAGACAAATAAATGAAGCTTTTATTTAGATTTAAATGAAACTGGAGTTGCCATTCAAAAGTAAAAATGAATGTGAGGTCCCTTCTTCTGGCAAAACACCTGATATATTTGAATGCACCCCCCATTTTTATGATTATGAAATGAACATTTCATAAATATTAAAATGTTTTAATAGATTTCATGCATTCCTAGGTTTGCCACCAGGTTTCACCTAAACTGAAATGGGAAAGAAACTGAGATAATATGCCTCTTGGAGAATAAGAATTTTCAAAGGAAGCCAAGAGATTTGATAAGATCAATAAATTGTTTTGGTTGCGGGGAGATTACTTCTATTTTGTGTGTCATCCATATGATCAGGGATGGGGAACTAGTGGCTCTCCCGATGTTGTTGGACTTCCATCCATTTAAGCTCTGATTTATTGTCTGATGTCAAATCTTACAGGGTAAGGCAGGCCAGGAGTTGCAAAGCCTCGAGGGAGCAACTGCCTCTGACAGAACTTGAAAGCAGACTGGACCTTTTAAAGCCTCGACTGCCCACACATCCTCTCCCAGGTTCTACCCTCTTATGGAACAATTAGATCTTTAAAGGGCTGACTTCCTGGGATGAAACCCTACATGTCTCCTACACTCTGTGGCCTCCTGCCCTGCACCATTGAACTGGTGAGATGATGTGGGAAGCCCTAGGTTCTTCAGAGTCAGAGGGAAACTTCTGTGAGGGTTATGATGACTCCTATAGCTTGGTTCTATAGGAGGTTGTCCTGTGGCATATCTGTCAACTGGCAGGCCCAGGGGTCTCCTGAACTTCAGCAGTAGGCCTAGAGGTCTGAATCTGGTCTGACTCCCTAAGCTGGTGCCTCTTCAGCCTCTGACTCCATGCTGGACTCAAGGGTCACGACATCCAAACAGCTTGGTCAGTCATAGGAGACAGTGTAACTTTTGGAGGGCCACAGGCTTTCCATCCTTGCCCACAGACTAAGCATGGGTACATTTCAATTTTCCTGCTCGTCAAGTGTGAGCTGTCTGCCAAAAATAGGTTGCTCGGGAGCATAGCCTTGGAGAAAAGGAACTATGCTTTCAGACTTGCCAATAGAAATAAGTGTTAAAATACAGTCTTCTCATTAGAAACCACAATGTGCTACGAAACGAACAAAACTGTGAATTAGATCTTGGTAGATCAGGCGATGTCTTGCCAAATTAATGGCCTAGCTCTTGAGGAAGCTGTGCCACAGGCCCTTAAATGAGGATTGCTATTATTATTACTGTCTTGGTTTCCCAGGTAACTCTTCATAGTCAGTTAATAAGTGGCTGGTGCAAGGTCCATTGCCTGAGTGCAAATTTGAACACTCTTGCTTTTCCCAAAATCTGCTGCTTATATTTATGAGCTTCCACAAGTTGAGTACCAAATTGCTAAGCGTCCATAGTTTCTGGATACTAATCCCTTTATCAGTATTCCTTCTAGGAAAAACATTGACTAATTTGTAAGCACATCTCCTTTTGTCAGTTGGGATATGTTTAAAATACTTTCAGCTTACTGGAGAATGTACCTGCTTTTGGGAGGCAGGTATGGAATGAATTTGAGCTACAAGTAGGAATAATATGTTGTTTCTCAATGAATGATTGCCGGAAGCTAGACAATGATGTTCAATATCCTTCACTCTTCCAGAGAGAGGGAGAAGTTGAAGTACAAAAATATACCTTGAACTCGCAGACTCAGCTCATGGTGAGGTGAAATGAGAAATTAGGGTGAATAAATATTTTCCCAAATGCTGTTAACCTGCATAAATAAAGGTTAGATCTCAAGAATCTTTATTTCTTGCTTCTCTCATAATTCTGCAATGGGATAATCAATGCAGTGCCCTCTCTGGGTTGCTTAACTCCAATTCCCATCAGTCCAAGCCAGCATGGCCAATGGTCAGAGATGATTGGCATTGTAGTCCAACGACATCTGGAAGGTACCACATTAACTACTCCGACACAAAACTTCCTTGCTGAATTTTATATTTCAGAGTGCTTTCCCATGATTTCATGAATTGTGGCTGAAAGGCATGCTTTCACAACAGAAGAATGGCCGAGCATTTCAGATGAGAGTGGGAAATGCCAAGGCTTTTAAGGAAGAGCTATTTGCATAAAGCCCTTTGGATTTGACAGGTTCTACAATTCCTGTGCAGTATTTTGTATATGGTTTTGATCTTTGATATTTTCAATTGTTAGCTTAGATTTCACACTGTGCATCACAAATGCTCTGTAGCCAAGACATCAATAACGCCAGCGCAGGCAAAGCATTTTAAGTGCAAGTCTATTATTTCCTGTAAAGGTAAAGGACCCTTGACAGTTAAGTCCAGCCACGAACAACTCTGGGGTTGCAGCGCTCATCTTGCTTTACTGGCCGAGGGAGCCGACATTTGTCCGCAGACAGTTTTTCCGGGTCATGTGACCACCATGACTAAGCGCTTCTGGCGAAACCAGAGCAGCACACGGAAATGCCGTTTACCTTCCCGCCGGAGCGGTACCTATTTATCTACTTTCACTTTAACATGGTTTCGAACTGCTAGGTTGGCAGGAGCTGGGACGAGCAACGGGAGCTTACTCCGTTGTGGGGATTCGAACTGCCAACCTTCCGATTGGCAAGCCCAAGAGGCTCAGTACACTTAAAATACTCCCCCCCCCCATTTAACAGTCATAGCTCCCTCCAAAGAATCTTGGGAACTGTAATTGGTTAAGAGCATTGGAAATTCTAGCTCTCTGAGGGGACCCCCTAACAACCTCCCCCCTCAGCAGCTGCAAATATCTGGGAACAGGCAGAAGGATTTCCAGGTCAATAGTGTTTGTCATTAGCATGGGGATTGTGTGGAAGATCAACTGTGTGTCAGCAAGTCAGGAGGTTAAAGAGCTACAAGGACAGTGTACAAGCAAATCAATAGGTTGGTTCATCTCTGGTCCCAATATATAAAAATGGAAATTGCTTCCCCTCATTGTGAAAATTTTCCAAATATCATACACTCTGCTTCCTGTATCTAGTTTCTAATCCAGGCAGAAGGCCTTTTTGGTAGTGGAGCACCTTCCCCTCAGATGTCAAGGAGATAAAGAACCACATAATTTTGTATTGAAGGCAGCCCTGTATTGGGAAGTTTTTAATGTTTGATGTTTTATATATGCTGTAAGCCACCCAGAGTGGTTGGGGAAAGCAGTCAGATGGGTGGGGTATTATTAATTATTATCATTATTATTATTATTATTAGACGACTTTTCTTCTTGCTCCATGATTGCTAACTTTATGCAGGCACCAAGTTAAAATTGCTGTGTTTACCCACTCAAGTGAGGGACTTTGTTGGAAATTCTTAAGTATATATTATCTACCACAGGTATGGGAAACTTTTGGCCTTCCAGATGTTGCTGAGCTAGAACTCCTCTCACCCCTGGCTACTGGCCATGTTTGCTAGGATTGATGGGAGTTGTAGTCCAGCAATATCTGAAGGGCCAAAGACTCCCTACTCCTCATCTATCAAAACATCCTTATCCACATATCTGTTGACACATCCAATCAAGCCCACAAGGTTGGTAAGCTTAGCTAGAATTTGTGGAAGCCATGCTGAGCATTCCTCAGCACAGCTTGTTCTTCTACGTTTGATGAATTTAATAATAAGAATGTACACTGATTTAAACATAACTGATGTTAAGCTACATTCTTGACACCACACTTCCCTAAATACCCATATAAATAAATCAGCATCACGTTAAGAGATCAGCATCACATTGGCTACTTTCCAGTCCTCCAGCACAGAAGCTGGTTTTAGTGACAAGCTGCATCTTTTCTGAGAAGAAGCAATTTCACATATGAGTCGTCTTGGGTGGATGCCATCCAGAGTTGGTGACTTGTTAATTTTTAATTTGTCAATAAACCCTGGGACGTCATCTCTTATCACTTCTACTTGACTCGCTTTGTCAGATTGTTCCTCCTGAGAAGATTGGTTCAGGCAGCGGTATCTGTCTAATGTCTTCTGCAGTGAAGACAGATGCAAAGAATTCATTCAGCCTTCCTGAAACCTTTTAATCCTTTAGAAATCCTTACACTTTTCTGTCCTCTAATTGTCCAAATGTCTCCCTAATTAGTTTGCTTCTTTTGTCCTTGTTGAAGGTGTGTTGGTTTTGGTCCTTGTGTTTTTGGCAATTCGTTTATTAAAAATTATTGCCTACTTCAATCAATCAATCAATCAATCAATCAATCAATCAATCAGTGGCTTGGATATATTGATTGTAATCATCAGGAGCCATGCATTCCATATTGTGGGCCCAATGCTGGGGTACGCCCCCTCACCATGTGATCAGACCTCTCCCCACCCCCTGATTTAAATTGAATTTCCAGCACCTTGTGAAAACATCTTAAATTTCAGCAGTTATTTTAAATATCCCCCCCAATTGAATAGTGGGCTTTAACTGATTTTTTTCTTTTTTTGTGTCTTGTTAACCTTATAATACGCTGCTTGAACAATCCATTTATTTAAATAAATAAGATTTTAAAATTTAAGCTTTTAAATCAATGCAGCTGAAAATGAAATAAAATACATTTGAAACAGAATCCAAATGGAAAGGGAGCAGAATTTGTTTGTTTCAAAAAAGGAGAGATTACATATGAATTACAGTACAGAGAAAGTACAAAAGCAAAATAAAACAAATATTTTATATATTTCACAAAATTTACACACAATTTGTTTGTAATAAAACCTCAGTGCTGTTTACAAAATAGCAGCCAACCAATAGAAAATGATAGCAGCAGTGAAAACTGCCACCACTACCCATAAGACAAAACTTGATTTGACAACAGAATGAGTTTAGGGATGGGGCCAGGTGGGCTTAATTGGCAAGGGAGTTCCACAGCACTGGCACCACCACTGGAAAGGCCCTGCCCCCTGCATTAATACCAAATTCTTTCTTCATGTGCCTGATTGCCAGCTTACATTTGCTGAACAGCTGTGTTTAATATATCTTAGTAACTCATCAGGAAGATGGCAAGGAAAGGGAGTGCACACACTAATCATGGAACTGGGAGCCCAGTGGCTGCCATTGATAGATGTAGCTTTACATACCCCCTTTTCTTTCCTGTAATCACTTCTACTAATAGTGAACTCAGGTGGTGAGCATTAACTGAGAAACAAGAGGCAGGTATCCACAAGGAAAGGGGGCCTTCAAGGTTTGCAGTTCACAAAAATCTACCTCCAGACCTAATTGAATAATCAAAAATCAGCACAATGAAGACTGAGTATGCTTGTTAGTGTTGGACCATTCACTGTGAGTTGGAAGATAAAAATTTAAAAAACTGGATGGAGGGCATTGCTGATTGGCTGGTAACCTATTTAGAGGTGAGTAGCCTATAACATTTTGTTGTAGATCTCATCCGTGTCCAATGGCTAAATATTACCCGCAATATTTCATGGTTTACTAGAGAACAAAGTTGAATTACAGTACCATTTGTAGTATTATCATGGTACTTTGACCGTGGACATAAAACTTTTTCATCTGTTTAATTTTTAATCTATGTTTTATAGCAATATTGGAGATACGGGATAAGCTTACACAGTTACCCCAGCGATTTCATGTTGACATCATCGGTTTGTAAAGGCAGAAGACAGCTCCACTGACTTATTACAAGGTTATGGGATTTGATGATGTAATGTAAGGCAGATGCTGTGGAAATAGGATATCAAATAAATGATAGCTTACCATGATTTCTATCTCCCCCCAACTGAAAAATAAATTTTGAAAGCCTTAAATACTGGGACATTTCAAACAAAGGAATTTGTCTGTGCTCAGATCTGTGGGGTGTAACAGAAAAACAAGGAAACATTAAATGAATTTCACTGGAAACAAAAAAAAAGGGGGGGGGAATGCTGAAATTGTCAGCTACAGAAGTAACTTCACATGCTGTTTTTATGAACTGTCCTACCTTGTCTCCATGCAGAAAAAGAAAAAGAAATCACATTTAATTGTTATTTTGTTGTTATCTAACATCTAACCAACTCAAGAAAAATTAAAAGAATGGGTATAATAAATGATAAGCTGGAAGGATCTCCAGCTGAATGCAGACTTTTTCATATGGGATGTGTGCTTGAATGCACATTCAAATATCTATCCAAAGATCTATTTCAGTGTGCATTCTGTCATGGCCAAATCCGGAGCAGGGCTTCACAGAGAGGGCAATGTGATTGATTTGCCTTCCCTGACATCATCATGTAGACAAACCCTCATAGTCACTGCGTAACCCAAATTGGTTGTGATCCCTTGGTGAAAGTGGAAAAAGAAACCTTGTTGAAGTTAACAAAATAGCTACAAACAAGTATTGACTGGGAAACAACGATCACCCAAGGGCAGCGGTGGAACAAGCCAATTGGGTGCCTGGGGCGGCACGCGTGCCCTGTGCCCAGGGGCGGGGCCAGCAGCCCACGGGGTGGGGAGAGCCAGGGCAAGACTCTCCGCAGAGCCTCTGAGGAGTCTGCTTGCCTCCTCCCACTCAGCCGCCCTACAGCTGAGGGGGAGGAGGCGGGCAGACCATTTGGGGCAGCACAGAGGCTGTGGGTGCCCAAGCCACCATGTCACTCCCAGGAGAGAGTGGGTGCCGCCTGGCATTTTGTCACCCCCTCAGTGGTGACACCCGGGGCAGACCACCCACAATGCCCCCTTCCTCTGACCCTGCAAAAGGGTAGGAGAAACTGTGCAAAATGGGAGTTTGCAGGACACCATTGGCAATGATGTATGGAAGTGAGAGCTGGACCATAAACAAGGCTGATCGCCGAAGAATTGATGCTTTTGAATTATGGTGCTGGAGGAGACTCTTGAGAGTCCCATGGACTGCAAGAAGATCAAACCTATCCATTCTGAAGGAAATCAGCCCTGAGTGCTCACTGGAAGGACAGATCGTGAAGCTGAGGCTCCAATACTTTGGCCACCTCATGAGAAGAGAAGACTCCCTGGAAAAGACCCTGATGTTGGGAAAGATGGAGGGCACAAGGAGAAGGGGACGACAGAGGATAAGATGGTTGGACAGTGTTCTTGAAGCTACCAGCATGAGTTTGACCAAACTGCAGGAGGCAGTGGAAGACAGGAGTGCCTGGCGTGCTCTGGTCCATGGGGTCACGAAGAGTCAGACACGAATAAACAACAACAACAATTGACAATGGGACTTACTTATGAGAAAGCATTTCAGAAGAATTTTGATATTTATTGAAAATTGAAATTTTTTTTAAATTACAGAGAAAAAACAAAGCAGAAAAGGAAAGAAAAAAGAAACAAAGAAAAAACAAACCACATCAAACAATACAAATTCAAAAAACAAAAATACGCCGCAAACAGACAATAATAACTCCATCATTCTCAAATCCTCAACTTTCATTACCTTCTTTCTTTGACCTCCTCCTCCTCCCTTTTTTTGTATCCTAGTTAATAATTATCGCAGCAAATCCTTTCCATATTTCATAATATTCTGTCATTACATTACCTTAATCTATTTTCATCTTATCTTATAGAAAACCTTAAAAACTTAAAACTTAAATCTTATTTTTACCGACTTCTCACAACCATAATATTCTTACCTAATTCTTTAAACATTTTTACTAGAGCCAAGTAATTTCATTCCAGCATTTTTCTAACATTCATCAATTTTATAAAACAATCCTGGTAATAAAAAAAAAGAGATAAAAATAATCGAGTCTTCCTCCAGCGTCCCTTCCTCCTGGTCCCGGGTTTTGTCAGTCCTTTTTATCCCATCGATCTAGCGCATTAACCTGGTAACCTTATATCCGAGGCCCTTAAATCTCTTCCATGTCCCTTCCGCAGCTCTTCTTCATATTCTCCTTTCACTCGTGGGAACTCCAGCTTGGTGATGTTTTTGACCCTTTTCAGCAAATCAGCCCCTTTTCCATAGTCCAGACTAAACTCCATGTGGTATTTAAAAACATGTTTCAGAATCCCTCCAAAATTGAGAGCCCCACAGCTCCAAACATCTCACGGCCCATTGCCAGACTCGGAAAGTCCAAACATCCCTGCATAGGGGGGTCTATCCAACCCCCCATTTCCAAACCAATCCAAACTTTATCTTTCCAAATCTGGCTTTTTCCAAGTTCATTTGTCAAGTCCAAAAGCTCATGCTCCTGCAAGGCCGCAGCTCCCTCCATCTCTGGCGCCCAAGATTCAGCAACATCCTCTTCTCTCATCTGCTCTGTCAGGACGCACTCCTGTTCTAATTCCTGGGTGGGCTCCACATAGTTTCCCACTGCCTGTTCAAAAATTCTGGCCGCATTAGTCATCAAATCCATCTTCTCATTTAACTGTTCCAGTAGGGCACTTGTTTTCCAGAGAGCACACAACAGAGCCTCTGAATACATTGTCCTACAAGGTCACAAGTCCATTCCCACGATTGTAATCTGTGACAGCTGCAAGCTCCCTGGAATTAGTTACAGTTTCACAGTCTCCCTCTAGGGGAGAACTTCTATTTGTTCTTGCAACAAAGTATCCTTTTGAGATATTTTGTCAATATTTGTTCCTTAAAATGCGAAAGGAAACAGTGGAATCACTATGTTTCTCTTCCTTTAACTATCTGTCAAAAACGTTTGTCTCTGGTCAATGAGCTTCAAACGTCAGTCCTGACACCCTGCTCCAGGATCAGGACGGTGGAAAGTTACTTTACTTTAAACTCACTTCTGCAGGTTTAAACAGTCCGAAAAAGATCCCCCTTCTTCTCCTGCTGTCGAAGGGGGGTTCCACAATTTTAAATGATGAAATCCAATCCTTTAGAGGCGATTTTCTGAGCTCTAGTTTACGTTGTCTTTGCTTTATTCTGTCTACAAATAAACGGAAGGCTGACTTCCTGTTTAGACCTTCCCGTTTCAGTACCAAATTGAAGTAAATTTTTAAGTCCAATTCCTTTCTGCACGCAAGTCCTTATTTAAAGTCCGATTGTTCAAATTTTAAGTACTCACGGGTGCTTATTTTAGAAGCCAAATTGTCCCAGGAGAAAGGCAGCGCTCTCCGGCAACGGCTATGCGGCTTCGCTCCACGGAAATAGCAGTTGACTCACAGCACCGCGCCACTTCCCCCTCTTCACTTCGGAGCCCGTTAGTGGGTTCCTTTGCGGGTTGGGGGGGCGCAAAGGGTGCCCGCCGAGTCCCATGGTCACAGGCTTCATCCGCCTGTGATTTTTAGCAGGGGATGACAGAGGACGAGATGGTTGGACAGTGTTCTTGAAGCTACCAGCATGAGTTTGACCAAACTGCAGGAGACAGTGGAAGACAGGAGTGCCTGGCGTGGTCTGGTCCATGGGGTCACGAAGAGTCAGACACGAATAAACAACAACAACAATTGGCAATGGGACTTACTTATGAGAAAGCATTTCAGAAGAATTTTGGCCAAGAAGAAGGGTATTGTTGGATCATATAGTGCTATGCTAAGTGATGTGTGGAGCTCCCATCTCTAACTGCGGGAAAGCCATGCCTCAGCAAAGCTAAAGCAAAACTGCCATCTGCTCCTTCTTATACACAGTCTGCTAAGCATTCCTTTCCAAAAGCAGCCCTGCAGGTGAATTGCTTATTCAGGGGACCATCTACAGCCATCGAGAGACATTAACATCATTTTGTCAAGTCCCAGGCTGGAGTCAGGCATTGCTTTAAGGCAAAAACCTTAGTGATAAGAACCATTCAAAGCAAACCCATTCCCAGTAATCAGACAGCAAACTTGCAAATTTGAAGGCTGGGACCTCACTTAACTTATAATTAGGCTGTAAGCCTGTGAAAAAGGCCCGTTCTTAATGTTTAATCTAGCAGTTTTCGGTGCTTTATAAATATTATGATGAACTTTTCTGGGAATAAAAATGCATGGGATTGGACTGTAATGGCTGTATAATGTCCAATGCACAGTCAAACAAGTGCAAATTTCTACCCAAACTGTAGCTTCTAAATAATAATATTAATATACCCTGTCCATTTCCTATAAATGTATTCTGGTATTTTTGTGGTGTTTTTTCACTCTAAATGTAATATAATGTTATAGATACAGACTAACTTCCTTTGATCAGTATTTATTATCTTGTCACTTGCCTTGATATACCGGTAAAAAAAATGCAGCTGCTTTGATAAATGGATTTGAAAGGTTATCTGGTTTCACATAAGCTTCTGCAAGTTGCTTCTGTATATTATTCTGCTGTAATGTTATTTTGGAGCTTCTTAAAGCTATGCTTCAGGGAGGCAGGGGGAGAGAATTAGATCCTTTGAGGCAGAAGGGGAAAACGATCGCTGAATCATTATTCACTCTTTCCTACCCCCTACCCTTGTTTAGAGATGGTGTGCAAGAGTATAATCCCAGAGAGAGAGAGAGAGAGAGAGAGAGAGAGAGAGAGACAGACACTGACTTCTGCACAAAACAGGGTGCTCTACACCAGTGTTCTTCAATCTTGGGTCCTCAGAAATTCTTGGACTACAGCTCCCATCATCCTCAAGGATGCACACCAAGGTTGGGGAACTGGTGACCCTCAAGACGTTGGTGGACCACAACTCCCATCGTCCCTGACTACTGGCTGGGGCTGATGGGACAGTTGGAGTCCAATGACACCTGGAGGGCTACAAAACCCCAATTGCTGATTTAGCAACTGGGGCTATGCTGAATCCTTGAAACTGGTTAGCAATTGCACCCTCAGTGGGTTAAGCTCTTAGCTCGTATCTAGGTGGATGTCTGTCTATACATGCAATCTCTGCTACCACTGGGCAGCAAGAATGGGGATATGCTTAAGATAGATATGAGTGTGTGGAACCAAGCCTTATGAGGAGTGGTTGAAGGTTGGGTATGTTTATCCCGGAAAAGAGACTGAGAGGAGATATGATCACCGTCTTCAAATATCTGATGGGCTGTCATATGGAAGATGCAGCAAGATTGCTTTCTCCTGCTCCAGAAGGTAGGACTGGAACCAATGGCTTCAGAAAGGAGATTCTGACTAAACATCAGAATAACTTTCTGACAGTAAGAGCTGTTCGACAGTGGAAAATACTTCGGGAGGTTGTGAACTCTCCTTCCTTGGAGGTTTTTAAGCAGAGGTTGGATGGCCACCTGTCATGGATGCTTTAACTGAGATTTAGTGGTGTTGCAAGGGGTTGGCCTAGATGATCCTCAGGCTCCTTTCCAACTCTGCAGTTCTATGAATCAACAGAAGCTGCCTTAGACTGAGTCAGTCTCTTTGACCTTTTACCTCAGTATTGCCGGGTTTCCTTCTGTGAAATGAGTACATTTTTGGTGCCATGAGAGTTTCAAAATCTGCCCCCTTCCCCAGATGACAATAGTTTTTTGGGGGGGCCTGACCTACGTGCTTCAATATCCACCAGTCCCAGTTTTGGGTTTGGGAGGAACTGTGATGTGCCCTCAGGAGGGCTCCTGTTCTGCCTCACCCCCATTCTAAGGCTTGAGAGTGTCAGGAGTGCATGCAGGAGCCAGGCCCTGTGACTGGTAGGGCTTCGCAGGACTGGGACTTTCCTAAGTTTGTTCTGAAGAGGCAAGGCGTGGCCACACAGGTGAGACCGATTGGTAACTCACAGCACCTGGTGGCAAGAGCCAGGAAGGGATATAAGGTCAGCATTTCCCTTTGGCTGTTTGCCACAGCAACATGCTTTCTGCCTTGCTGCGTTTGGCTTCTTGACTCCTGGTTTCCTGACCCTCGGACCCTTGACTCCCAGCTCTATGACCCTTGGACTCTTGGCTTCTGGACTCCTGGCTTCCGGACTCCCGTTCCTGCTCCCACCCCGCCATCTTGCCCCCAGTCCTGATGTCCTCCGCCAGGACTTTGACCGTCCATGACAGAGAGTGAGTGTTGGTGTCCAGAGGCAGCCAACACTTCTTTTCCCTTGCCTGTCCTCTCCTTTTAGGTCTGACAGTGAGAATGAGGAGGCCTGTGAAGCCCAATTCACATTGCCCAGAGGGAGAGAGAAGGCAGCAGTTGCTGCTCTTTGGACTGGTATTTGAATGAGCGGAGATGGAATGGCAAGTGCTTCCTGTCCACTGATCCTGCATAGGAGAGGACTGTATGTGGAATGGATGGGAGCTGATGGGGAGGAGGTGGAGACACAGCACAGGTACTCAAACCTTTTTGGCACTCAACCTTTACCACTGCTGATTGGGGCAGTTGCTGTTTTTCAGTAGTGACTTAGCAGGGATCAGTTCTGGCAGACCCTCCTAAGGCACTGGGGTCTTAGGATAAAAAGAAAAGAAGATCCCGATTGGATCAGGCCAGAGGACCATCTAGTCCAGTGGCCAACCAGTAGCCCACAAGCAGCACCTAAGTGCAATAGCTCTTACCCCCCTGCAATAGCCTTATTCTCCATGAATTTGTCTGCTCTTTTAAAGCCATCCAAGTTGATGCCCATCTCTTGTCGCCGCTGTCCGACAGTGCCAACTCCTGATGCCAGTCCTGGTATTCATTTCCCATTTTGTCTCAAAGCTCATTTGACTTTCAAATGACTTTCAAGACAAAGATCGAGAGGGCAGCTGAGCATGTGGGAAGAGAATGGCGAGTAACTGTTAGCTCTCCCTTCATTTACAGGTATAATGATATGCTATCTTGCATCTGCAATTAACCTAAGCTTTAAACTCTTATCGGGCAGAGGGGGCAAGAGAGGCTCCTCATCTACGGTGAACTGAGTCTGCCGTGAGCCAGGAAGTTGCTGCAAGGACAACTTTTGGACAGGCACAGAAAATGGTAACGTTGCATTTCTAACCATGTCTATTCAAAAGCAGTTTGGTTGTTTTTAGTTTAGACAAAAGACAAGTAAGAGATGACATGATAAAAGCTTGTAAAATTTGCAGGGCATGGAGAAAATGAATAGAAAAGTTTTTTTTAAAAAAAAATTAAATCATTTTTTAAAAAATATTTTTATTAAAGATTTCTTTACAAAAATATGTGCGTTGTCTCTTTTTTCAAGTTGTGTTTTCTAAAGATCAGTTTCATTTGTTGTGAGTCATTAGTGTTACATACAGTGTTAGGTTAGGAAGAAAATGGGGAAAGAGAGGGGAGGGGGCATGGAGAGTGGGGTGGGGTCGGGTGGTTACGCTTCAGTTCTTCTACTTAGTGTATGTGTGGGGTTTCATGTCAGTGTCATTTGTGTGGGTTCTCTTACTTTTCGCTTGTTGTATTTCCTTGGTGGTGAGAGAGGTTGCGGGGGTGGCATAGTTTGTGGTTGGTTGTCTTTGGCTGGCTGTAGTGAGATTTGATTTTGTGTGTGAGCGGTGTGTGTGTATTTGAATCAGATTGCCAGATTGATTTGTATGCTGTCAGCGGATTCTTGTTGTTGTCTTCTTGATAGAAAAGCTTTTCTCCCTCTCATAATAGCTCAGCTGGTTAGAATGCAGCACTTGTAACACCAAGGTTGCAGGTTTGATCCCCATATGGGACAGCTGCATATTTATGCATCGCAAAAGGTTGAATGAGATGATCCTCAGGGTTCCTTCAAACACTACAATTCTATGATTCTGTGAGAATTCGGGGACATCCAAGCTGAATGTTGGAAGGTTCCAGACGGATAAAAGAAAGCACTTCTTCACACAATGCTTAGCTAAACTATGGAACTTGCTCCCACAGGAGGCAGCGATGGCCACCAACCAAGATGGTATAAAAGAGGATTAGACAAATTCATGGAGGAGAAGGCTGTCAATAGCTACTAACCACAATGGCTATGTTCTGCCTCTATGGTCTGAGGCAGTGATGCTTCTGAGTACCAGTTACTGGAAAAACAGGAGGAGAGAATGCTATTGTGCTCAGGTCTTGCCTGAGGGTTTGCTAAAGCCATCTGGATGGGCACTGTGAGAAGATGCTGGACTAGATGGGCCATTGGCCTTACCCAGCAGGCTCTCTTTATGTTCTTACATTTTTATGTCCTATTAAATCCAATGGACCTTACTCCAAGGTACATGGGGTTAGGATGGCAGCCCCTAGAATCATATCCATGGAGCATAAAGAGCAATTGGGTGGACATGCAGAGTTTGCAGAGACTTTGAAAACGTTCTCCCTTTTTTATTTTAGCTGGACAAATGTTAAACTTTAGCAGCAGCAGCCCTGTAAAAAGGAAAGCTATTGAACAGGGAGAACAGGAAGACGCTGGCTTATCTGAAGCTGGGTATGAAATGTTATTTCAGGGCAGTGCTAGCAAATTCCTATTATATTTCTCCCCCTCCCTGTCAGCTAATCCGTGGAGATAGAATGATGAAGCTGCTGCACTGAAGGGAGACATCTCCAATTAGAGGTGGAAACAAGAAAAGGGCAAAAGGGGAGAAAGGAAAACAGGAAGATTATTTTGGAAGCAAGGTACTGAACCGTAGCTTATTAAATAGACTGTCATTTTTATCTATCCCATTAACACATTCAGCTGGGGATGGATCCGTCGGCCGGAGAGTCTTCTGGATCTCTTTGCCAAAAGGGTTCTGGTGCTTGGTTTTTACTCGCAGCAACTCCTGGTTGCATCAGATCCTGCAGTTGTGAATTTTGCTTTCTCATGGTAACTGTCTGTCCTTGTCTTCGGGGTTCACCCAAACAAAGCCCTATTGGTCTCGAGCACTATGCGATTATTTGATTTCTTGCTTTGAATCACAGAATTGGTGGGAATCTGGTGGGACATGGAGGAGGAAATCCAGAGCATTCCCAGTTGATGTGAACTCAACCTTTGCTTGCAGAGCTCCAGCAAAGGTGAAGCCACCAGCTTTCTGGGTAACTGATTTGATGAGTCATACCTCTTTAGTCTTACTCAGTTTCCCATCATTTCCTTCCTCTATTAGTGACTATCCTTCCAATAGCCCCTTGAGTTAATTTACGTAAAGGTAAAGGACCTTTGGATGATTAAGTCCAGTTAAAGGTGACTATGGGGTTGCGGTGCTCATGTCGCTTTCAGGCCAAGGGAGCTGGTGTTTGTCCACAGACAGCTTTCCGGGTCATGTGGCAAGCATGACTAAACAGCTTCTGGCGCAACGGGATACCATGACAGAAACCAGAGTGCACAGAAACACCATTCACCTTCCCGCCACAGTGGTACCTATTTATCTATTTGCACTGGCATGCTTTTGAACTGCTAGGTTGGCAGGGGCTGGGACAGAGCAACGGGAGCTTACCCTGTTGTGGGGATTCGAACTGCCAACCTTCTGATTGGCAAGCCCAAGAGGCTCAGTACACTTAAAATACTCCCCCCCCCCATTTAACAGTCACGGCTTCCCCCAAAGAATCTTGGGAACTGTAATTGGTTAAGGGCATTGGAAATTCTAGCTCTCTGAGGGGACCCCCTAACAACCTCCCCCTCCCCCCTCAGCAGCTGCAAATATCTGGGATCAGGCAGAAGGATTTCCAGGTCAGTAGTGTTTGTCATTAGCATGGGGATTGTGTGGAAGATCAACTGTGTGTCAGCAAGTCAGGAGGTTAAAGAGCTACAAAGACGGTGTACAAGCAAATCGATATTGTGGCTTAATCAAGTGGCACTACAGAAGCAGAATAGGTTAAAACTACACAAACATGGCTTAGTTTCCTGTTATTCCAATGAACAGTGTGCGCTTCATCCCCGCCCCCCCCCAAAGAGACAGATGCAGTTTTGAACCCAACCATGCTTGCTTTGCAGGAATCTGAATGGGAAAACAGTTTTTACATAATGTAAATCACTACTTTTCCACATCAGTTTGATATGTGATATTTTAGGAAAAGCCCTCATAAAATTTTGTCAGCTTTTTAGTGTACATTTCTCCTGAAACACACATTCTTGCAAGTAAATGTTCCGTAACATAATGCATATTTGTATGTTATTTTCATTAATATATACATTCATTCATATAATGCATACATTTCTCTAATACTGTATATGCATTTTTGCCAATTTTGTGGGGTGGGGTGACAACACTGCAAAATTTCCAGAAGTGCAAATTTCAAAAGCTAGCTGTGTTTTGGTTTGTGTATTGTTTCAGGAGGTGCAAACTGGGCAGTTTCGCATGAAAAGGCGGACTGAGCCAAATTTTTGTCCCTCTCTGGGAGCAGGGGTTGTCATTTCCTGAACTGCCAGCAGTAAACTGTTTACACCTATAGGCCTTCATGAATAATGAACAGTAGTGATTATCATTGCTCTCCTCTGTTTTGCTCACAGGTTACACTGTTTTCCGGAGCCGTGGCGAATGAGAGTGCGACATGTCATTACAATACATTAACAGGGGTGATTGTTGGCCCCAATTTGCTTTCAACAAAGAGTTGGCCTTTAGTTACTTCCAGCAGGCACTGGCAATTACTGAATTTTTAATACCCAAATTCCCAGATTTCACTTTAAATGCCATTTCAGGCCACGATAGTGCCGAAAATGGATTGCCATGCTGTAAATTCCTCGAGAGGAGAAATACTGTAAGAAAATGGGGCATTGTGAATATATATACACAAATCAAAATACTGCGAAAGGTATAACCTGACTTTCAGGCAACTCTTGAAGTTTTTTTTTTAATAAAAAATTTGGATTAGTTAGCTAACCACTTTAATTACTATTTGCATAGTTTTTGTTTTAACTATTGTACATCAGGCAGATATTTTATGATATGGCAGCAGAGAAATACTTTTATAATTTTATCAATAAACAATAGCTTAGAGTAGACCCTAACTCATCTGGAAGTAGCTTTAGTTAGTATGTTCTCTGTTTTTCTCATCCTTGACTTACCTTGTTTGTCTTCCTCCCCTTACTCTTTTCCTTAAAGTTAGATGTTAAAGCTCTTCCATTGGGATTTTTTAAATAAATACGTTTTACTAATATATTCAGTATTGTAAAATTTATATTTACGCTATTTCCCCCCCTTTTGTATACCTGTGTCAGTGGTGTGCCTTTTTGTTTTGTTTTGTTGTCTTTTCCTTTTAAATGATGTATACCCACTGAATCAAAAATTAGCAATTAAATGACTATTTAAAAAAGAGAAAGACTAGACTTGAGAAACACCCACCCACAAATTGTTGGTCACAGGGAGAGCACTTCTGCACTTTACCACACAAATATTCACATAGCCTTTTAAAAAGAAAAAGGGAGAAGTTGCTCCCGTCTCCTGCATCAGTTGATTGCATCCAACTGAGTCCCTGGAATTGTGGAAGGACTTCCATTCATGCAATGAAATCTCCATTGCAATGCCCCTCCTCTGCAAATCCGCCCTAGAGGGTTGAGGGAGAGAAACCTCAGAGCCATTTTAGTTGCTTGGGCACACAGAGGGAGGGGAGAAGAAAGTCCATTGCATAAGTGGAGGTCCTTCCATAAGCAGAATGACTTTGTTGGATACAACCCAACTTCGTTCCCAGTGCCCTATTTACATATAAGCTAAACAAGCAATAGCTTAGGGCCCCACTCTCTTGGGGCCCCCCCAAAAAAAGTAAAGGAAAAAAAACTGGATGTACACTTCCAAAATATAAGATAAAGAACAAATAAAATAATACCTACATACAGCAACAGTGTTTTGTGTTGTGTAGGCTCCTATGATGTAAGCAATGGGCTAGCCTGCTCCCTAAAATATCACTGGTATAGGGTGCCTACATTCTGCATGTGCAAATGGCTTTAGATACCTATTAGGTCCATAAATTACCATATAGCATGTATTCAACCCAAAAAACAGCGACAATTTGTTGTGGACAAAGGACAGCTGGACATATAAAGGGCCCCATTACATTCAGTAGCTTAGGGCCTCATCAAACCTAAATCCGTCCCTGATCATTCCATAATTGTTGCTTTCCTTTCCTTAACAAGTACCATTCATGCACATCCCCTGTTGCTCCATAATGACAGCACCAACGTTGTCCTCTTTCTTTTTTTCAGAAATGTTCTTATTTCATTTCCACAACATAAATATAAACAGCATAATCAATAAAGTGCAGCCTTAGCACATGATGAGAAAATGCCCCCATTCCTTAAAAAGAATTTGTTCAAACTTTTAGTGATCTGAAACTTTTTTTTAAAAAAAAAGACAATATAAGACAATATTTTTGTGTGTGTGTGCAGTCTTTTTTGCCTTGTGTCCCCATTTTGTGGACTGTTTAAATAATGCACAAGCATTCTGGGCCAAAAAACAAAACAAAGGTGGCATTCTACTCGGTGCTACCTTTGTCTCTGCCTCCCTTTCTCAAAAGGAAGACAAAAGCTCTCCTTTGTGTAACATGAACACACAGCAGGGGAAGGCTGAACAACAGAGGTTCAGAGAGCCTGCCTGCTTGGTTGTCCCCAAGGAATTGAGCAGATGTGAAGAGCAGGAGCCTTTGCTGCTTGGGGCGATAGATCCACTCTGCCTCTCATGCTGTTCCTCTCAAAATGGGCAAAGAGTGGCTTTGGAACAGAGCCTGAGATGAAGCAGCAGCAGCCTGCTGCCACGACTCTCAACCTGTTTGAGTGCATCTCTTCACAGATGGGGACACTTGTGCATTTTGTAACGACACCAAGGAGTACCCATCCCCCCAGCCGCTTCCTTTCTGTACAGTGGTACTTCTGGTTATGAACTTAATTCATTCCGGAGGTCCGTTCTTAACCTTTCTTAACCTGAAGTACCACTTTAGCTAATGGGGTCTCCCACTGCCGCGGCGGCAGCATGATTTCTGTTCTCATCCTGAGGTAAAGTTCTTAACCCAAGGTACTACTTCCGGGTTAGCGGAGTCTAACCGAGGTACCACTGTACTTGCAAAAATGGTATTCCATGCTGGTGCTACACTTTGGAAGTCTCTTGAGAAGACCCCATTCCATGGACCCCGCTCCTTCAGTGAGGCACCATTTGCACAACAGTTTGTTCCATTTCCCCTACCTTTTTTGTGCTTTATTTGACAGTGGAAGCATGGAAGTGAAAATTCAAATATAATGGGAAAATTAATAGTTTGGGAACCATCGGGAAAACAAGAATGCACTGCTGTGTGAATGCAGCCGGAGCTTACCTGAATCTTCCCAGGAGCAGGAGGACAGCATAGAATTGGAGCAGTGGTTTGCAGAGGGGCATAGTTCAGAAGGCAGAAGCTGGGAAATACTGGATGGCGAACAGCTAGCAGAAGAAACAGCTAGCAGAAGAAACTGGAAGAGAGAGTTAACAGATTCAGTCTCTGGATAGCATCCACCCCCCTTCCCCAAAGTCACGGAGAACTCAGAAAGTGTCAGAACAGAAAGCACAGAGGCTACAAGCTCAGATTACAAGACGTAGGAGTGACGTAGATTAATAGGGGTGGAGGGGGGTGTCCCTTAATTGGGAGCACCACTATTTCTTGGAGATGTGTTCTTTGTTCTCTCGCTGTGATTATTAAAGATTTCAGTATTTTGGGTTTAAGCCACTAGAAATTATTGCACATCACAATATTGCACATTGCACATTACTTTCCTTCTGGCTGTGCAGTGCACATACCATACCTTTAAATCACATTTCAGCACCACCAGCAAAGAATCTTGAGAGCTGTAGTTTGTTAGGGGGTGCTAGACATTGTAGCTCTGAGAGACCTACAGTTCCCACAATTCTTTGACATGGGTGGATGTGCTTTAAATGGTGCGTGCACAGCCTTTGTTTACATGCCCGTAAGAATTATTTTGGTGTTTGATTCTCTCTTATTTAAGTGGAGAGAAATAAAAGCCCAAATCTCCAGGAGGAAGAAGCAAAGTAATTTATTTAAATCACACATTTGTACTTTCCTGTTCAAATGTAGCGTGTTATAGCATAAAATCCTTAGTGCTGTGCTTGAAGGAGTTCTACATTAAGTTTCTGTTGCTTTTGTGTGCATATGTTGCCGTTTTACAGCTGCACAGAGCACCAGGTGTATTTTCAAAGAAGATTAAGGTACTGCATCGGAATGATTCCATTTCTAATCAGCAAAATCCATTGTAGCTGGGGATTTCAATTTAAATATCATTGTGTTGTTTTAGAGGATGAGGAAAAGACTGGGGGTGGGGGGAGAAATGAAAAAGAGCAAGAATGCACAGCATCACTAGGAATATAGGTGACTTCTAGATGGCCTGTGTGTTGAGCATTCATCATGATTTGTTTGCAAGGAGATTAGATGACTTTGCATCATAGCAAGTGTTATCTCACACATTTCCCCATCACTTTCCTTATCACAAAAAGTCTGATCCCTTGGAGAGGCAGGCCACTGCAATCGCACAAGCCTAAATATGTGGCATGCAGTTGAGTCCCGCCTGAAAACAGCAGCAGTCTGGAAGCACCTATAATGAGAAGGGTGACGTCTTGGAGAGACGACAACCCACAGCTCATTTCCCGATAAAGGCCTCATCTGTGCTATACATTTGAATCACTATTACACCACTTTAAACAGTCATGGCTTCCCCCAAAGAATCCTGGGAAATGTAGTTTAAGGTGCTAAGAGTTTTTAGGAGAACCCTATCCCCCTCATGGGATGTGGGTGGCGCTGCGGTTTAAACCACTGTGCCGCTTTGACTTGACGATCAGAAGGTTGGCGGTTCGAGGCCCCGCGACGGGGTGAGCTCCCATTGCTTGGTCCCTGCTCCTGCCAACCTAGCAGCTCGAAAGCACGTCAAAGTGCAAATAGATAAAGAGGTACCACTCCGGCGGGATGGTAAACAGCATTTCTGTGCGCTGCTCTGGCTTCACTAGAAGCAGCTTAGTCATGCTGGCCACATGAATTGTAACTCTTTGAGGAGGATAAAAGGTAAAGGGTAAAGGGACCCCTGACAGTTAAGTCCAGTTGCAAACGACTCTGAGGTTGCGGTGCTCAACCTCAGAGTTGTTCACGACTGGACTTAACTGTCAGGGGTCCCTTTACCCTTTACCTTTTATCCCCCTCATAGAGTTACAATTCCTCAATTTCCCTGGGAAGAGGGATTGGTTGTTAAACCACCCTGAATACTAGCTCTGCAAGCAAAATAGGGGTATTTTACTATTGTTTTTTGTGGGGGAGAATGAACATGTTTAACAGATCCTGAAAACATTAAGACTAGCTGGTTTGAAGCCATTAATTCCATAGTCTGGGTAATCCAAATATGGCTAACACTTCACTGAGTTCAAAGGGACCCAGAATTTTCTTTCATTTCAGCCTTGGGACATTTACTTGCCATATCTGAAGTTCAATATAGTATTTAGATCTGTCCATTTCCATCTCTCCGTGTTTCTCATTTTTCTAGGCTTAAGTTTTTTTTTTTTTTAAGTACTCATGAGAATTTCAGTGTTTTTGTGATAATTTTTTTACAAACCAATTTCCCCAATGTAATTTGTGTATGTTATTTTAACGATACATGCATTTTTATGCACACTTAAGCACTTCTATGCATAAGATTGAAGCCTAAATTTGAGAGTGGTTTTAGCTCTCATTCTTGGCAGATGATTTTCCCCAAGCTTCAACGAAACATTACCTGTCGAAATTCTACCTGTGACGCTGCTGACAATAAAACACAAGCTTTTGCCAGGATAGGAATAAAAAGTGGCAAGG